AAATCAAAAGAAATCAAAAACTTTCTGGAAGTAAATGAGGATAACAGCACAACATACCAAAACTTATGGGACGCAGCAAAGCAGTGTTAAGAGGTTTATATCAATAGGTGCCTACATCAAGAAATTGGAAAGGCACCAAATAGATGAGCTTTCTATTCACCTCAAGGATCTAGAAAACCTACAGCAAACCAGACCCAAATCTAGTAGGAGAAGAGAATAATTAAAATCAGAGAAGAAATCAACAGGATTGAATCCAGAAAAACATTCCAAAAATCAGCCAACGAGGAGCTGGTTTTTTGAAAAAATAACAAAATTGACACCCCATTGGCCCAACTAACTAAAAAAAAGAGAAAAGACCCAAATCAATAAAATCAGAGATGAAAAAGGAAATGTAACAAGAGACACCACAGAAGTAAAAAGAATCATCAGAAATTACTACAAGGACTTGTATGCCACAAACAGGGAAACCTATCAGAAATGGATAGATTCCTGGACACATGCAACCTACCTAAATTGAACCAGGAACATCGAAAACCTAAACAGACCCATAACTGAGACAGAAATTGAAACAGTAATAAAGGCCCTCCCAACAAAGAAAAGCCCAGGACCAGATGGATTCACTGCTGAATTCTACCAGACATTTAAAGAAGAACTAACTCCAATTCTTCTCAAACTTTCAGAACAATCGAAGAAGAGGGAATCCTCCCAAATTCTTTCTATGAAGCCAGCATCACCTTAATTCCTAAGCCGGAAAAAGATGCAGCATGAAAGAGAATACAGACCAATATCCCTGATGACATAGATGCAAAATCCTCAATAAAATTCTGGCCAATAGAATGCAACAACACATCAGAAAGATCATCCACCCAGACCAAGTGGGATTATCCCTGGTATGCATGGATGGTTTAATGTGCGCAAGACAATCAATGTGATACACCACATTAACAGACTGCAGAAGAAAAACCATATGATTATCTCAATAGACCGAGAAAGCATTTGATAAAATACAACACCCGTTCATAATGAAAACTCTAAGCAAACTGGGTTTGGAAGGAACATTCCTCAATACAATCAAAGCAATCTATGAAAAACCCACAGCCAACATCCTATTGAATGGGGAAAAGTTGGAAGCATTTCCACTGAGATCTGGTACCAGACAGGGATGCCCACTCTCACCACTGCTATTCAATATAGTCCTGGAGGTTCTAGAGCTATTAGGCAAGAAAAAGAAATTAAGGGATACAAATTGGGAAGGAAGAACTCAAACTATCCCTCTTTGCAGATGACATGATTCTTTATTTAGGGGACCCAAAGAACTCTACTAAGAGACTATTGGAACTCATAGAAGAGTTTGGCAAAGTAGCAGGGTATAAATCAATGCACAAAAATCAACAGCCTTTGTATACACAGACAATGCCATGGCTGAGGAAGAACTTCTAAGATCAATCCCATTCACAATAGCTACAAAAACAATCAAATACCTTGGAATAAACTAACCAAGGACGTTAAAGATCTCTACGATGAAAATTACAAAACCTTAAAGAAAGAAATAGAAAAGATACCAAAAAATGGAAAAATCTTCCATGCTCATGGATTGGAAGAATCAATATCATCAAAATGTCCATTCTCCCAAAAGCAATTTATAAATTCAATGCAATACCAATCAAGATACCGAAGACCTTCTCAGATCTGGAAAAATTGGTGCTGAAATTTATATGGAGGCACAAGAGACCTCGAATAGCTAAAGCAATCTTGTACAACAAAAACAAAGCCGGAGGCATCACAATACCAGATTTCAGGACATACTACAGGGCAGTTGTAATCAAAACAGCATGGTACTGGTACAGAAACAGATGGAGACCAATGGAACAGAATTGAAACACCAGAAATCAACCCAAACATCTACAGCCAACTTATATTGATCAAGGATCTAAAACTAATTCCTGGAGCAAGGACAGTCTATTCAATAAATGGTGCTGGGAAAATTGGATTTCCACGTGCAGAATCATGAAGCAAGACCCCTACCTTACACCTTACACAAAAATCCACTCAACATGGATTAAAGACCTAAATCTACGACCTGACACCATCAAGTTACTAGAGAACATTGGAGAAACCCTTCAAGATATTGGCACAGGCAAAGAATCTCTGGAAAAGACCCGGGAGGCACAGGCAGTCAAAGCCAAAATCAACTATTGGGATTGCATCAAATTGAGAAGTTTCTGTACTGCAAAAGAAACAGTCAGGAGAGTGAAGAGACAACCGACAGAATGGGAAAAAATATTTGCAAACTATGCAACAGATAAAGGGTTAATAACCAGAATCTACAAAGAGATCAAGAAACTCCACAAAACAAAACCAACAACCCACTTAAGAGATGGGCCAAGGACCTCAATAGACATTTTCAAAAGAGGAAATCCAAACGGCCAACAGGCACATGAAAAAATGTTCAAGGTCATTAGCAATCAGGGAAATGCAAATCAAAACCACAATGAGGTTCCACCTCACCCCGGTTAGAATGGCTCACATTCAGAAATCTACCAACAACAGATGCTGGCGAGGATGTGGGGAAAAAGGGACACTAACCCACTGTTGGTGGGAATGCAAACTGGTCAAGCCACTATGGAAGTCAGTCTGGAGATCCCTCAGAAACCTGAAGATAGCCCTACCATTCGACCCAGCCATCCCACTCCCTGGAATTTACCCCAAAGGAATTTAAATTGGCAAACAAAAAAGAGGTCTGCACCCTAATGTTTATTGCAGCTCAATTCACAATAGCTAAGACCTGGAACCAACCTAAATGCCCATCAACGATAGACTGGATAAAGAAATTATGGGATATGTACTCTTTAGAATACTATCTCTGTGAGTGAGATCTCAGTGGAAAAACAGGTCTTCAAAGAAGGAGGTACCTTTCTCTGAAGGGAGGAGAGAACCTCCACTTGACTATGAACCTTGTCTAAAACAAGATAAGAGTCGGAGACTCAGAGGGATTCCATAGCCTTGGAAAACTCATGACTGGAGCATAGGGAGATTACTGATGCCATAGACAGGAGTGTCAATTGGTAAAGTCAACAACAGGAGTCACTGTGCACTTACTCCTCATGTAGGATCTCTGTCCTTAATGTGCTGTGCATTGAGATTTAATGCTATAACGAGTACTCAAACAATATATTTCACTTTGTGTTTCTATGGGGGTGCAAACTGTTGAAATCTTACTTAATGCATACTAAACTGATCCTCTGTAAAAAAAAAAAAAAAGAAAAAAGAAATTATCAACTCCCAACTTGACTCTCACTGGGATTAAACATGACAATAGGTCTGATCTGATTTCATCATCATTTAAAAAAATCATCTATTATTTTCACTTTATGTTTCTGTGTGGGAGCAAACTGTTGAAATCCTTACTTAATGTATACTAAGCTGATCTTCTGTATATTAAGATAATCGAAAATGAGTCTTGATGTGAATGGAAGGGGAGAGGGAGTGGGCAAGGGGAGGGTTGTGGGTGGGAGGGACGGTATGGGGGCAAGCCATTGTAATCCATAAATCGTACTTTGGAAATTTATATTCATTAAATAAAAGTTAAAAAAGACAAAACAAAAATGTATGCCACTGGAAATTGTAAATCAGATATATTCACAATAGCAAGAGAGATTAAAAATTTAAAATGAAAAAAAAATTACCTTCAAATAGGCAGAAGAAACAAAGGATAGGCAGTAGGACTTGATTATGTCTCAGGGATTTACCACAGAAAATGTATGCAAAAAACCCACCATCATCAAAGCAAACATATTCTACCATGCATGTCTAGGTTTATTCTCCATTAGGTGATATGTTTTGGAAAATTTCATTCTAATAGCATTAGCACTTAACGACAGAGCACTAATCTTTCTAAAAATAAAATTTAGTATTTAGATTCTCAAAACTCACCAAACCAACTGGAAATGTCTAGTTGTAAAACAACAATGTTATGCTCAGTCAGTTTCACATCATAAATGATAATCTATGACTAATGTCAGTAGGCAAATTCCAATTCTAAACACTACTGGAGATTGCCACTGTGATTTTCACTGTGTTGACATTCATCTTATTGCTGAATTGTAGGCAAATTTCTTTGGCAACATTTACATATCAGTTATGCCACAGGAAAAACTGTTACATTAATTTAGCATCTCAAAACTGCATTAGAATTACTTAAATACATTTTCTAATAGATTCTACAATAGGAAAGCCTCCAAACATGCCTATTAACAAAATCTGTTCAAAGAAAGCGAACTATTAAAGAATCAAGACACGTATCTCACATGAACTACTTAAATTTAATTGTATAAGTTACAGCTAAATTCACCAAATAATTTAAAAAATCCTTAAATAAAAGCGATGTTTTTAAATAAATTTCTTTATAATTTACCTAACTTTATTATAATTCACAGCTATTTAGCCTGAATTTTAACATAAAATGTCTAAATCAATCTTCATGTGAGTTATTAAATGCAACTCAATATGCACTGCTTTCTTTAGAAAATATGTACTAAGCACCATCATGTACCAAGACTCACAAGCAATAACTCCAGCAATATATGTCATAATTCATCTTCAGAATAATTTTTGGGTTGCTTTAAATAAAGATTACACATCGTGTGTGTGTCTGTGTGCATACACACCTGTTTAGGTATGTGTGTGTATATATATTTATGTATATATCTTGAATGAGGAGGACATTATATGTAACAGTGATTCAAGTCAGAAAACATAAAAATTTTATCAAAGATTAACTTACCTGGGTCAAATGGTTTTTTGAAGTCCTCGCATCCATTCTAGTGTTCTATGTGTCACTTCTTCTTGTTTCACTTCTTCTTTATGATATTGCTTTTCTTTTCTTCTTAACTGTTCCCTAGGTTTTTTACACAATATATCAGTATTGGTCTCTTTTCTTGTTTTAGGTAAAAACATGCTTGTTTCAAAATTCATTTTATTAGAAATTAAAAGATTCATTGTATAATCTTATACTACCATGCAGCTTATACACTCTAATAAAATTTATGTTCTCAATATCTTCTTATAACATTTCATTTAAATCTCTTCTTCAAAGGACAGAGTTGAAAGTTAGCTGTGAAAGCACATTCTTAAAACAAAAAAAAAAAATAGCACATTCTTGAGACTGGTATTGTGTAGTGTGTCAAGCTACCGCCTGTGATACTAACACCCCGTGTGGCCACAGGTTCCTCTCCCAGCAGATGTACTTCCTATCTAGCTCCTTGCTAATGGCCTGGGAAAGCAGCACAAGGTGACTCAAGTATTTCAATCTCTGCTGCCACCTATTTGGGAGACCTAGAAGAAGCTCCTAGCTCCTGGCTTCAGCCTGGCTCAATCCTGGCCATTGAGGCCACCCACAGTGAACCAGCAGCTTGCTCACTCGCTCACTCGCTCTCTCTCTCTCTCACTCTTTCAAATAAATAAATAAATCTTTGTTATCAGAAATTACATTCTGATAATTGATAAGATTCTGTTACTTGCAACTGATAACTGTTATCAAGAAAGGAATTTCGAAATTATCCAGTAGAGTTATGAGTTGAAAATTACCTCTTCCTCATCCATTCATAATTACATCTCCATTAGGAAAGGTAATTTAGAATTAACCAATCTTTAATGAATTTTAAAAAAAAAGATTTATGCATTTATTTGAGAGGCAAAGTGATATATAGAGAAGAGACACACAGAGAGGTCTTCCATCTGCTGGTTTACTCTCCAAATGGCCACAACAGCAGGAGCTCAGAGGATATGAAGGGAGAAGCCAGGAACTTCTTCCTTATCTCCCATGTGGGGTGCAGAGCCCCAAGCACTTGGCACCTTCTAATGCTTTCTTAGGCCTTAAGCAGGCAGCTAGATCAGAAGTGGAGCACCCAGGACTTGGACCAGTACCCATACAGAATGCTGGTGCTACAGGCAGAGGCTTAACTTACTATGCAACAGTTCTGGCCCTTAATGAGTTATTTTTATAAACACCTTTATATAGTTATTAGAACTACAGTTTCAACTTTATCAAATATTACACGTATCCTTAAAAATTATTTAGAGTGTAAGACAGCCTATAATTTATACATGCCTTTTACATGATACACACAGCTACTGATTAATATCATCCAAGGGTAAAGAGTATATGTGTCACTTCATATAATTGATATTTTGGTAGTATTTTCAACTTAATGAATATTAAAATTCCATAAACAATTTCAAAAAATGACATTGTTAATTAAGCAAGGGTGCTACGTGCTTTCAACATAGAACATGAAACGAATTTTTGCATGTAAAAAAGAGAAATGTTCAAGAAACTAATCAGAGATTACTTTCCAGTTTTCTGTCATCCCATGCATGTTAAAATAAGTAAATTTCAAAGTCTTCAAAGGTTAAAAAAACTGTCAACTATATATCTGTTGATGGAAGTATAAGCTTATGTACTTTCTTGACAAAAATTTAGAAATATTAACCAAGCATTTAAAAAGGTTTCCTCAAATTTAGCCATAAAATCCATATTGAAGTATTTATTCAAAGTCAAGCACTTGGCATATAAAGAAATGTTTATATAGAAGATGTTTGTTGCAGCATGACTTATAATACAACAAAACATAAACTCAAAATACAATGTTCAAAACAAATCATGAAACTTCTATATGGTGTGCTTCTATGTAACTAAGATTACAATCTGAAGAAGATGTATTGAATTATTACAAGCATTCACACTTAAGAACTTGTACATTATTTGCAATTCTTGTGAATTTCACACTTCCTAAGAGTAAGAAGTTTCTACCCTGTAAAATCCCAGAATATCTCGGATGGTCAAAGATGAAAAATCCTCCACAAAATACCAGCTCATTGAATCCAACAACACATCAGAAAGATCATTCACCCAGACCAAGTAGGATTTATCCCTGGTATGCAGGTATGGTTCAACATTTGCAAACCAATCAATGTGATACAACACATTAACAAATTGAAGAAAAAACACATTATTATCTCATCGGATTTAGAAAAAGCATATAATAAGATATAGCATTCTTTCATGATGAAAATCTTAAGCGAACTGAGTATAGAAGCAACACTCATCAATACAATCAAGACAAACTATGACAAACCCACAGTGAGCACCTTATTGAATGAGTAGAAACTGGAGGCATTCCCCCTAAGATCTGGAACCAGACAGGAATGCCCAACTCTTACCACTGTCATTCCATATAATCATGGAAGTTTTAGCCAGAGCCACTAGGCAAGAAAATAAAACCAAAGGAATACAAATTGGGAAGGAAGAAATCAAACTATTCCCATTTGCAGATGACATGATTTCATATTTAGGGGATGCAAAAGACTCCACTAAGAGACTACCGAAACTCATAAAAGAGTTTGGTAAAGTGGAAGAATATCAAATTAACACACAAAAATCAAATCAATAGCTGATCTATACATAGACAATGCCATAACAGCTACAAAAATTCATACCTTCAAATAAATTTAACCAAGGATGTCAAAGATTTCTATGATGAAAATTACAAAACATTAGAAAGTGAAATAGAAGAAGACATAAAAAGTAGAAAAATCTTCGATGTTCATGGTTTGGAAGAATCAAAATCATGAAAATGTCTGTACTACCAAAAGCAATTTACAGATTCAATTCATTCCTAATCAAAATACCCATCAGATTTTTCTCAGATTTAAAAAGAATGATGCTAAAATACATAAGGAAACACTAGAGACCCTGAATAGCTAAAGCAATGTTAAACAATAAAAAAAAGCTGGAGGCATCACAATACCAGACCTCAAGATATACTATAGGGCAGATATAATATAAACACATTGGTGCTGGCACAAAAACAGATGTATAGACCAATGGCATAGAATAGAAACTCCAGAAATCAATCCATGCATCTACAATGAGCTTACTTTTGACAAAGAAGACAAAATCAATCCCTGAAGAAAGAACAGTCTCTTCAACAAATGGTGTTGGGGAAACTGGATCTCCTCATGCAGAAATATGAAATAAGACCCCTACTCTACACTTTACACAAAATTCCACTCAAATGGATCAGGAGCTAAATCTATGTCTCAATCCCATCAAATTAATAAATAACATTGAGGAAACTCCATAGTATATTGGCATAGACAAAGATTTCTTCGAAAAGACCCCAGAAAAGCACAGGCAATCAAAGCCAAAACTGACAACCGGGATTGCATCAAACAGGGAAGCTTCTGTACTTAAAAAGTAACACTCAGCAAAGTGAAGAAGCTCCGACAGATTGAGAGAAATATTTGCAAATTATGCAACTGATAAAAGATTAATATCCTCAGTTTATAAAGAGCTCAAGAAACTCAATCACAACAAAACAAAAAATCCAGTTAAGAAATGGGCAAAGGACTTTAACAGGCATTTTTCAAGAGTGGGAATTCAATGGGCAACAGGCACTTGAAAAAATGCTTAACATTCTTCATTTTGATTTATTTGAGGACCATAAATTTCATGGATTCCATACATACATATTTAGGAACATAGTGATTCTACCTACCCTCCATCCCACCCATACTCCCACTTGTCTTCCTCTTCCCCATCCTCTTTCCATTCTTATTTTTCACAAATATCTATTTTCAGTTAACAAACACATAAGATTAACCTTATACTAGTTAAAGAGTTCAACAAATAGTATGAAGGAATAAAAATTAGTATGAAGCACAGTACTGACCCAGTAGAGTCAGGCATTCATGGCTACAATTTATTTTATTTATTTTTTTTTGACAGGCAGAGTGGACAGTGAGAGAGAGAGACAGAGAGAAAGGTCTTCTTTTGCCGTTGGTTCACCCTCCAATGGCCGCAGCGCGTCGTGCTGATCCGAAGCCAAGAGCCAGGTGCTTCTCCTGGTCTCCCATGGGGTGCAGGGCCCAAGCACTTGGGCCATCCTCCACTACACTCCCTAGCCAAAGCAGAGAGCTGGCCTGGAAGAGGGGCAACTGAGACAGAATCCAGCACCCATACCAGGACTAGAACCTGGTGTGCCAGGCGCTGCAAGGTGGAGGATTAGCCTGTGAGCCATGGCGCCGGCCCATGGCTACAATTTATTGGGTTAAAAAAGTTTTAAAAAATCAGTGAAATGCAAATCAAAACCACAATGAGTTTCACTCCAGTTAGAATGGCTCTCATACAGAAATCAACAACAATAAATGTTCACAAGGATGTGGGGGTAAAGGTACCCTAATCCACTGTTGGTGGGAATGTAAACTGGTGCACCTGCTGTAGAAGATAGCATGGAGATACTTCAGAAATCTCAATACAGACCTACCATATGATCCAGCCATCCCACTCCTGGGAATTTACCCAAATGTAAAGATATTGGCAAATGAAAGAATAACCTGTACACCATGTTTATTACAGCTCATATGAAATGAACCAAGATGTCCATCAACTGAAGACTGGGTAGAGAAATTATGCTATAAATACACTATGGAATAATATACTGGGGTAAAATGAAATAATTTCTTTTGTTACAAAATGGATGTAACTAGAAATGATTACTTAGAGTAAAAAGCTTATCTCAAAAAAGACAAATACCTGTGTTCTTTCTGATCTGTCATAACTAATAGAGTATGTAAAATGTAATCTATTGGGATGAAATTGACATTTTGAGATGTGATGATTTTGAACAGCTCGTCTTGAGTACTGAGGAGCAGTGTTTTTTGTTGTTGTTGTTCATACTATTTGTTGAACTCTTCACTTAGTGTATGGTTAACCTTGTGTGTATAAAGTTAACTGAAAATAGAAATTTGTTAAAAATAAGAATAGAAAGAGGAGAGGAAGGAGGAAGAATGGTGGGATTATGGGTGGAATATAAGGTAGGAAGAATTACTATGTTCCTGAATTTGTATACATGATGCATGATGTTTGTATTCCTTAAGTAAATCAAAATGAAAAAAGTTAAAGTCTTCAAAAACAGATGTTCCATTTCTGAGCCAATTCTGAATGAACCATCTTTTACCATAAAATATACATGAATTGAAGTTCTACAGATAATTTAAAGCACCAAGCATTGTTATACCTAGATATGTGCATAAAATTAAATTCACTATGCGTTCTGCTACATCATTTCTAGTAGTATAGATGGACTAAAAGCTTCTATGTTAAAATAAAAGAAAATCCTCCTTGACTGCCACATTTTTTTGTCAAGTATCTTAACCTTACTGCAGTATTGATATAGTTGAGTATTCTCTTGTTTGGCTTGTAGACTACACTATTCTTTCCTATTTTCATTAAAAGTAGTCACCATTAACATTGCTTCACTGGAAAGTAAAGAATTCATAGATTTTACCTTTTAAGACGATCGAGCTCACTCAGATTGTTGTCATAAATCACTTGCAGTAGACTTCTAGTGAGTGAAAAGCCATTCTCAAACACTGGTCTAATCCCATACTCCATGGAAGTCACTTTTTCATTTTCATTTTTATTTCCTTTACATGCAAGGCAGGGCAGCTATTTTAAAAAGATCATTAACATGGCAATGTTTTTTACTCTACTGGGAAAGATTAAAGAAGCACAATTTTGACAAAATTCTTATTCTTCCCCAACTTAATTCATTTACTAACTCAAAACAAGATAGGAAGTGATAACTACTTGTAAAGAAAGGTGTACAGGAAATTTAAAAAATTACATGAAAATTGGGTGAAAAGTAGTTTTGATACAAAAACTTTGAAATCCAGGATGAATAATTTTTTTTTTGAAAGGCAGAGTGGACAGTGAGAGAGAAAGAGACAGAGAGAAAGGTCTTCCTTTGCCGTTGGTTCACCCTCCAATGGCCGCCGCGGCCGGCGCGCTGCGACCGGCGCGCTGCGGCCGGCGCACCGCGCTGATCTGATGGCAGGAGCCAGGTACTTATCCTGGTCCCCCATGGGGTGCAGGGCCCAAGTACTTGGGCCATCCTCCACTGCACTCCCTGGCCACAGCAGAGAGCTGGCCTGGAAGAGGGGCAACCGGGACAGAATCCGGTGCCCCGACCGGGACTAGAACCTGGTGTGCCGGTGCTGCAAGGCGGAGGATTAGCCTAGTGAGCCGCGGCGCTGGCCAGGCTGAATAATTTTTATAACATGCATTTTATACACTTACTGAACACACCTTGTTATATCTTCTTTGGAAAACAGGTAAAAACACAATTATGATATAAGGTAATATGGAAGGGTTGATATTGGGAGGGTGGTGTTTCACCTATTCGTTAATAAGCAGGGGGCTGGCGCTGTGGCATAGTGGGAAGAGCACTGCCTGCAGTGTTGGCATCCCGTATGGGTGCCAATTTGAGTCCCTGCTGTTCCACTTCTGATCCAGCTCTCTGCTGTGCTCTGGGAAGGAAGCGGAAGATGGACCAAGTCTTTGGGCCTGTGTACCTCCTTGGAAACCCAAAGGAAATTCCTGGCTCCTGGTTTCAAATCAGTGCAGCTCTAGCCACTGTGGCCATTTGAGGAGTGAACCAGCAGATGGAAGACCGCTCTCTGTCTCCCTTTCTCTGTCACTCTGTAACTCTGCCCTTTAATAATAAATCTTTATATATGTGTATATAAACATATATATATATATATGTTTATACATATATAAACATACAGGGTAAGACATTCTTGTCCCATATCAAAGTGCCTGGATTTGAATCCTGGATTCACTATCAATTCCAGCTTTATAATATACTGGGAAACACCAGAAGATTGGTCCAAGTAGTTTAATCCCTGCCACTTTTATGCAAGACATGGTTTGGGTTGCTGACTATGGGCTTAAGCCTGGCTCAGTTATGGCCACTGAGGGAATTTATGGGGTGTATTAGAAGAGGGGAGTTATCTCTGACTGCTTCAGATTCTTTTTAAAAAATATTTATTTATTTATTATTTGAAAGGCAGAGTTACAGAGAGGCAGAGAGAGAGAAGTCTTCCATCCACTGATTCATTCCCCAAATGGCTGCAATGGTGAGAGCTAGGCTGATCTGAACCCAGGAGCCAGAAGCTGATTCCAGGTCTCCCACACAAGTGCAGGGACCCAAGGACTTGGGCCATCTTCTACTGCCTTCCCATGCCATAGCAGAGAGCTGGATCAGAAGTGGAGCAGTCGAGATTCAAATCAGCACCCATATATGATGCCAGCACCTCAGGCAACGGCTTCAGTAGCTACGCCAGAGTGCCAGCCCCTGTTTCAGACTCTTAAATAAAAAAAGTGTTGATATTGGAAACTGATATCTGAGCACAGGAAAGCTTTACAAAGGAGGTAAAAAAAAAAAAAAGGAAAAAGAACTCATGAGGGAAAATGTGGATGAAAACCATTTTATTTACAGAATGTGCAAACAAAGAGTAGGCATATGATATCTGATATATTTCTTTGGAATTTGCAAGAAAAATATAAATACCTAAATCTATCATTGAGAGATGAGGCCTACACTAATTTTGAATGCTACACTAAAATATAGAGGTCCACAGTCTGTAAGCATAATATTCAGGTTTGGAAGTAGCAGTTATAATTGTGCTATATTTTGGTTTTTTGTGAAATATAATAATGCCAACCTTAGATGAAAATTTAACATTTAATTTTTTAATTTACTTTGACAGGCAGAGAGGCTGATGGAGTAGGAGGAGGGAGGGAGGAAGGAGCAGAAGAAGGGAGAGGGATCACCTATCCTCTGGGCCAGGGTGAAGTCAGGAGTCCAGAAATCAATCCTTGTTTCCTGCCTGGGTGCATGGACCCAAGTACTGGAGCCATCATCTGTTGATTTCCAGGATATTATATTTATTATATAAGGTATAATAAAACATATATGTATATATAATAAAACATATATACATACACACATAAATGTAGACTACTAGAGTCGAAAGATTACAAATGTATATAATTGCCAACTAAAATAAATAGAATGAACCCAGATAAAATCAATTTTTGAGTATTATTCTAATGTCTAAAAAAACTCAAAGGATAAGCTGCATTCACTCAAGTAATAAAAAATTATTGAGTAGCTGCTCATTGCATGCATGTTAGGGCCTCTTCTATGTACAAAAGATATGGCAGTGAAAAGACAAAATCCAACACAAAAGAGTAAAGCAAAAACATTAGCAATGAACAAGCTATATAAAAACAAAATACAGTATGTTAGAGGAAGAGAACAAAAGCAGAGAAACGATGTTTTCCATGTTTAAGGGAGGTGTGGACATATTAGAAGGCCAAAGAAGATCTTGCTTAGGAAGAAAAACATTGAAGGAAGGAAAGGAATCAGCCAGGTGGACATCTAAGGAAGAATCTTCAAACACAGAAGGAGCCCAGGTATGTTTAAGGAATAGTGAAAATTTCTGTAGCATAAGTAGAATGAAGGAGATGGAAAATCACAAATTGAAATCACAGCGTAAGGAGGAGTGAGGTCACAACATGTATTGCCTTGTAGGCATTAGAAAGAAGTTTAGTATGTGAAGTCAAATGAAATCACCAGGTTTTAAGTAGAAAAAAATGACATAATCTGACTTTAAGAGATCCCCTGTGTTAAAATTTAATGAAAAGAGGATTTATGAAAAAATAAACAAGAAAATCACTGAGGAATCTACAAACTAATATAGACAGCAGCTGATGCTGACTTGGATATTATGTATCTAGTTTCTGGACATATTGTGAAGGAATACTTGACAACATGTGCTGTCACATAAAGGCTGAGGTCTAAGAATGCTCCAAGGCTGTTGGTAGAACAGATGAAAGAGTTGCCATTCGCTGAAGTAGGAAAAACTATATGAGGGGCTGCTATGAACAAGAACATCATTAGCACAGCACTAGGCTAAATTTTAAATACTGAATAAATGACCAAAGAGAAGTGTTGAGTAGGCAGGTTATTATCTAAAATATGGAATTAAGGAGAGAGATCTAAGTTGCAGTTAAAAATTCATAATTCATTTGCATAAACAAGATAGTGAAACCATGAGAGAAAAGATCAAAGACAGCCTTGGGATATATCCATGTTTTAAAAGTAGAAGATGAGAGAAACAAGGGAAACAACACAGGATGGAGTAGAAAAGAAACAGAAAGAGACTGGTTGACAATTATACCCTGAAAGCCAAGTCAAGAAATGATCTTGAAGGAAAAGTGTTCTACAGACATAATAAAATGTTACAAAATCTAAGCTGAGACTTAATGCCCAAATATGTTTAGCTTGTCCTAAAATAGTCTGTCCACAAATATAAGACCATAAGTAATTGTTATTTTCCTATTGTTTCAAACTATATTGACAAAATGTATTATTTGAAAAGAATTTTTTAAAGATGTTTTACCCTCAAAGGATCAAATATTTTGAGTGGTTCATTAAAATGAGAGCCTGTGACAGCACTTTGCCACAGAGGGTTAAGCCACCATATGAAGTGCCACAATCCCATATGGGCCAGTTCGAGTCCTGATTTCTCTGCTTCCAATTCAGCTCCCTGCTAAGGTGCCTGGGAAATCAGTGGAGGACTGTCCAAGTTTTGGGCTCATGCAACCATATGAGAGACCTGAAACAAATGCCTGGCTTCAGGCTGGCCCAGGTCCAGCCATTGCTGCCATTTGGGGAGCAAACCAGTGGATGCAAGATCTCTCTGTATCTCTTTCGCTGTCCCTCTAACTAGAAAAAGAAGAGAAGAGAGAGAGAGAGAGAGAGAGAGAGAGAAAGAGAAAAATAGAGAAAAAAGAGAGAGAGAGAGAGAGAAGGGAGGGAGGGAAGGAAGGAAGGGGGGAAGGGGAAAGGGAAGAAGGAGGGAAGGAAGGAAGGAGGGAAGGAATATTTAATGAAAAGAAAAGGAGACCTTGGAAAGTACTACAACATAGATTAAAAATCAGTGGCAATCCAGAGAAAACCTGTTTTGGAGGGGTTGTGGGAATGTAAACAACTGGAGTGAGTCCAAGAGTGAAGAGAAGGTCAATTTGAGTCAGTGAATAGAGACAGTTCTCCCAGGAGATCACTGCTAAGGCCATGATCATTGAAGATCTATTTTTCTCCATGTTTAACTGAATTTTTCAATCCTCGCATAATGATTTAGGGAATATTTGTGATTCTCTAAAGTTGTTGGAACTAAAAATGTTCTGATCAAAGCAGTAATAATTCATAAACTTAAGGAAGTGAATTCCTTTAAAAGTTCCTCATTAGGTATTATATAACTGATTATTACTATTCTGCTGATAATATTGAAAATCTAAATTTTTCAAGGGCGACTTCCTGGGTTGCTTAAAAGCCAGGAGGCAGGAGATTCTTCCATGTCTCCCACATGGGTGCAGGGTCCCGTGCACCTGGGCCATCTTTGGCTGCTTTACCAGGCAAGTTAGTACAGAGCAGGATCAGAAGAAGAGCAGCCAGGATTTGAACTGGCACCCATATGGGATGACAACACTGCAGGTGAAGTTTAAGTTGTATGCCACTGCACCAGCTCCAGAACTAGAGTTTTTGTAAGCTTTATTTGATGTCACTCCTGAAAAATACAGTATGATACATTCTGAAACATTCTTTAGCCTGTAGTCCATCTTCTAAAGGAAGATTTATTGCATTAGCAGTACCAATGTTTTGGCATAGGTTCAGTAAAACCGTGCCCAAGAATAAATCCAGCTGAATCTTTCCTAGTACTGTTCATAAAGTTTTAGTGATATTAAGCCACACTAATTACCTTATAGTCTATGGAGGATTTCGCACCACAACTATAGAGACCTTCTGATGCCAAAAGCCTAAAATATTCATTATCTGGTTCTTTACAGAAAAAGTTTACAACTCCTGCTTTAGCAGATCAAACATCCTTTGACGCATTGAGAAGGTTTACCTAACAAACTGAAATGCTTATAAGGAATATGGACCACAGTATGCAAATACCCAATAATGCTCAAATTATTTTATAGATTCTATATTTAATATTTAGGCTCAAATTGGGATCAAAACTCAAAAATAAATAGGTATTGGTTATAAGAAGTACAAGTGTCCCACGGACTCCCCTTTTGCAACTCAGCAGATATGGTATTTTAATAAAATATGCTTAAGATGCATCACCAAACTAGTCACATTAAATATTCTCTAGTTGTGAAAAAGCAGTGTACTATAGATAAAACCTCATTTTTAAAAATGGTTGCATATTGCGTTCTTTTATTGGTATGACAATTTATTTCTATTTTGATTGGTATTTAGACTGATTCTAAATTTTTGATAAACAATGTTATTGTAAATGTCATGTACATAGGCAACATGTTTTATTAACCTATTTTCATTTTATTTGGAAGGCAGAGAAACACATCTAGATAGACTAACATATTAAGAAAGATTTTCCATCTGCTGTTTCATTCACAAATACCCAGGACAGCCAGGACTGGGCAAGGATCCCCAAGGGTCTGAATTTCCACCCAGGTCTCTTTAAGTGGGTGTGGACACCCAAGTACTGGAGCCACCATCTACTGCCTCCCATGAGATACACTCTTAGGAAGGTAGATAGGGGGCCAGCGCCGCGGCTCAATGGGCTAATCCTCCATCTGCGGCGCCAGCACACAGGGTTCTAGTTCCGGTCAGGGCGCCGGATTCTGTCCCGGTTGTTCCTCTTCCAGTCCAGCTCTCTGTTGTGGCCAGGGAGTGCAGTGGAGGATGGCCCAAGTGCTTGGGCCCTGCACCCCATGGAAGACCAGGAGAAGCACCTGGCTCCTGGCTTCGGACCAGCGCGGTGCACCAGCCACAGCGCACCAGCCACAGCGGCCATTGGAGGGTGAAACAACAGAAAAGGAAGACCTTTCTCTCTGTCTCTCTCTCACTGTCCACTCTGCCTGTCAAAAAAATAAAAATAAAAATAAAAAAATAAAGGAAGGTAGATAGGAAGCAGAGAAGTATGGACTCAGACCACCTTCATATAGGAAGAGTGCATGTCACTGGCCCTGCAACATATTTGTATAAATATCTTTATCATATGTGTTTACATCCTTAACACTAATTGTCCTATTACATCTTACATAATAGATGATGACAATACATCATAAATGTCATTAACTTATGGGTGTAGTAGGGTACAATAGACCATACTATGCTATCTTGTCAGGTCTAATCCCAGAGTGAAGTTGCTACAAGGGCAAAGAATGGTTTATTTCAAATTTTGACATGTGCTCTTAAGCTATCCTTCAGAGAGTCTTATAATTGTATTTACCAACAGTAGATAATAACTTTTCCCTCACATTTGCCAACTATTAACTTTTAAACAAATACTTAGCAGTATGGTTTGCAAATATTATTTGTTTCTTGATATATTTCTAATTCCAAAGCATGGAATAAAATCCTTAGTAAAAATATGTTAATCATAGATAATAACCCAATTAGAAGTGGCTTTATAGCACAATAAAAATCACATCACCTAATGTTAAATATTGCTATAGACTTACGAATAATATTCTTCACTCTTCTTAGTGGCAGATTGCTGGTTGTCAAGGTCCCCAGCTCTGTCTCTGCTGATTCAGTCCACAACCATCACTGTCCTCAGGAGGAGCAGCACTTTCATGCAAGTTTCTTAACCCTTCCATTTCCTTACTTTGGCAACGCTGCCCTTTTCTTCACACTTTAATGAAAGTTTCATATTAAAATCGCTGTTAGTACATAAATATAAACATTTTTGTGTTCATTTATTATTCATTTATGTAGCACATTTATTGCTACATAAATGTTTTACATACACTGTTTTCTACTACAGTGACAGAAAAAAATTTTGAACATCCTGCTACTGGTTGGAAAAAGTTTATCAATAATACTTTGGATATTACACATGTTACAATTCTTCAATAAAACAACAATGGAAACTGGAGAAACAATTCACCTCCAATAATTAGCTCTTACAATACACCACAGGCAATAGACAGTGTGCTAGAATCCTACAATGGTCTTAAAATGCTAATGTAAATTTCTGGTATTATTGATATTATTATTTTTTTTGACAGGCAGAGTGGACAGTGAGAGACAGAGAAAGAGAGAAAGGTCTTCCTTTTGCCGTTGGTTCACCCTCCAATGGCCGCCGTGGCTGGCGCACCGCGCTGATCCAAAGGCAGGAGCCAGGTGCTTCTCCTGGTCTCCCATGGTGTTCATGTTCAGGTAGGGTTATGATAAATAACCCTACACTTCTTAAATATTTATTTACATATGAGAGAGAGAGAGCACTTTCATCTGTTGGTTCCTTCCCCAGATGGCTGCAATGGCAAACACTGGGCAAGGCTGAAGTCAAGTGTCAGGAACTGCATCCAGGACTCCCAGATCAGTAGTAGGGGGCCAAGCACTTGGGTCTTCCTCCACTGTCTTCCTCACGCCATTATCAGGGAGTCAGATTGGAAGTAAGAAGCCAGATTATGAATTGTCACCAAGTGGGATGCTGGCATCAAAGGTGGCAGCTTTACCCACTATGTAACGTCAGTTCCCTTTTAAAATATTTATTTATTTATTTGAAAGTAACAGAGAAAGACAACCCTATAACTTAACTACATTGTAATAAACTTTAATCCTGGAAACATCAATTTTGAAAAAATCTAGAAAGACCAACATTTAGAATTCAAGAAATTTCCTTACAACATTATTGGATAAAAAGATTAGCTATTATGCAAAATGAGCCCATTTTTTCTATTTTATGAAGGAAAGCTTATGAGCATAGTGCCAAGTGTATACAGTGAAAAACACAGCAGTCTCTAAGAAAACAGGACAAGCAGTGGCATATGAATATGCCACACATCATAAGCAACAACTTCTGTTTAAGTGCTTCACACAGAAATGAAGAACCAAGCCAGAGTCTGATATAACTAGAGAAAGAACACAATTAAAGGGACCAAAAATTCACTAGGTTAACAAAGGACTGATTTGCTAGGAATCATCCTGATGGGAGGATCTAAAATTCTTTTTAACTGGGTTTGCTCTTCAAAGTAACAAAAATTTTAAGATTGTTGATACTGGCACAAGGAATTAATTGTCCAAGATAATCATGTTTAACATATTTTTTATCCAAGAACTGTTGAGGAGGAAGATGTACTTCATGGAAGTTCAAAGTGATTACTGCACCTAAGACACTCGCCATGAATTCTAGTCAATGAAATGTATTTGTGCTGCATGTTATATACTTTAGTTTCAGCATTACAGCTCATGGAAATTTTGGTGCATTCTGCTTCATTTCTGAATTTAAAACTTTTGACAATTCTCCAAAATGTCAAAGATGGTACTTCCTCATTTTATGCTTTTATTTCTATCCACATTTCACTATCTAGTATGTTTATTAACCTGTATGGAAGCAATAGAGAAACACGTAAAATATGTCACTTTCTGTCATTGTCACCTGGATTTTATATTAACCATCCAGATTTACAGGATTTGACGATGCAGGTCTCTAGTAACAGCAAGGAGGCTTCCCCTCTGTGCTCTAAGCTATTTTTTCTCTCATTGCTTTTATAATTATTTTTTCCATAGACAATAACTTTTAAAGTATTCACAGATCATTAAAACTTTAATATTATAACATTCTTAACCATTGGGTTCACAAAGGTGTAAAACAAAGCTTTAGAAAACTATGTTGCCAGGCCGGTGCTGTGTCCTTGGGCCCCTGCACCCACGTAGGAGGCCCGGAAGAAGCTCCTGGCTCCTAGCTTCGGATCAGCGCAGCTCCAGCCATTGTGGCCATCTGGGGAGTGAATCGGAGGATGGAAGACCTCTCTCTTTGTCTTTACCTCTCTCTGTAACTCTGTCTTTCAAATAAATAAAGTAAATCTTAATTAAAAAAACTGTTTCCAGCAATATTTTTCCCTTTAGATCCTGGGATATTTGATATTCAGAAAAGAGATACATGCTCACTAAAATATATCTGTCCAAGTTTGCCACACCTCAAAAGAAGAGGGAATGTCATGAATTGTTAGTGAGAGATTCTGAAAAATAAGCTTCCCTCATTTTACAGTCACTAAGCATATAATTTCATAGATGGAAGGCATGAAGTAATTAAGTGTTCTGGCCCCATTATCTACTGATAATGGGAATAAAACTTCAAAAGGTTAAATGATTCAGACAAGTACACAGAGTGGCTTTTCCTAGCATTTTATGGCACTAACAGAAAACACACATTCTATAACACTGAATCAGATACATTACCAGAGAAAATAACCAAATTAATCACAGAAATGAGCAGTGTGACTTTGTCAAAATACTCCAATGCCTTCAGGGTGAGGAGCGTGAAGAGAGGCTTTATCTACCCTTACCTATAAGAGGATATCTGTAGATTTTTACATACCTATAAAACTGTAAGTACTCCAGAATGTAGCATCCTAATTTAGAGACAAACATTGAACTTCTGGTGGTGGTTTATGATACTTATAAAAGTCTAATTCACCAGAAATACTTGTGTAAGCATAAAAGTTACATGAAAGTGTATGTAAGTGTTTGAAAAAAATCTTTAAAATAGTCATGTTGGAACACAAAGTTCCATGTACTTTAACTGAATCAGATAAAGTTGTACAATAGACAAGGCACAATAAACAGACTCACTATGCTTGTAATATGTTTCACAACACTCAAGGCCAGGTACATGCTAATATTCACTCTCAAACAATGGTTCCTTCCCACGGTATGCTCACTGGATCCCACATATTCATATTTAATATGTAATCAATACAATTCACACAAGATGATCCAAGTAGTTGGTTTCCTGAACCCGCATAAGGGACTCAGATGAAGTTTCTGGCTCCTGATTTAGGTCTAGCGCAGTCCTGGCCAAAGTGGCCAATTGTGGAGTGAAACAGTTGATTAAAGCTCACTCTTGCTCGTGCTCTCTCTCTTCCTCTCTCTCTCCCTCCCTCCCTTCTCCCATATCTCCTCCTCCCTCTTCCAAAACTCTGCTTTTCAAATAAATAAGTGAATCTTTAAAAAATAGATAACTGTAATTTATTGTTAAGCCAATCAAAATGGCTAGGGCTTATTAAAATTTTTAAAAAAATCTTTATACTTATTCTGGTTCAGAAAGTCATAGAGTATTCAGTTAAATTATTTGCCCAGGTTAAAGGTCACTGGGAAGAATTAAATAATAAAAACTATGAAGATTTTTTTAAACTGTAATTTAGAGAGCAACATCATTGTGTACATAAGCTTTTTCTAGGTAGAAAATCACAATGGATCAGGTAATTGACACAGGCAAATAGTAGAGTATCAACAAGGGAACCTCTCTGTATTTTGCAAGTTAAACTTTTTCACCAAGGCCAGAAACTACTTGTAATGAGACTACCTCATTCTTTTTAAAAATCTACTTTAATGTATTGGAAAGTCAGAGAGGGAGAGAGGGAGAGGGGAGAGGGGGAGAGAAAGAGACAAACTCTGCTGGTTCTCTACAACTACCCACAATAAGCATGACTAGGCCAGGCAAAGGCCAGAAGCTGGGAACCTAAAGGTACATCTCTCACAGGAGCGTGAGAGAAACAAGTACTTGAGCCATCACCTGCTTCCCAGGGTATGCATTACTGGAAGACAGAACTGGAGCAGCACTTGGACATAAACCCTGGAACTGTGATATGGAATGTTAGTATCCCAAGTGGTATCTTAATGACTATGACAAATGTCCATCTTATCCTACCTCATTCTTAAATCTACACATATTTTGCTGCAGTACTTCATTTTGATGTTTTGTCCCTATGTGAGGGAGAAGAACAAATAATTTCTTTTTTTTTAATTTTTTTTTGACAGGTAGAGTTATAGACAGGGAGAGGGAGAGACAGAGAGAAAAGTCTTCCTTTGATTGGTTCACTCCCCAAACGGCCGCCTCAGCCAGTGCTACGCTGATCCGAAGCCAGGAGCCGGTGCTTCCTCCTGGTCTCCCATGTGGGTGGAGGGCCCAAGGACTTGGGTCATCCTCCACTGCCTTCCCGGGCCACAGCAGAGAGCTGGACTGGAAGAGGAGCAGCTGGGACTAGAACCCAGGGCCCATATGGGATTCTGGCGCCACAGGCGGAGGATTAGCCAGGTGAGCCATGGTGCCGGCCTGTGTAATAGGTTTTTAAAAATGTTATTGAACACCATATCTAGAATTGTTTGCCTCTTTCAAGAAAATGATTAGCTATATGACTACAACAGCTTCTAAGATTTTGTCTAATAAGCAGTTAACATGTTTTTAATTAAGCATTAAATTATGATCTTTTGATACATATATACACACCTACATATATTATATACATATATATAAATATCTGGTATGGAAAGTCATTTTGATTGGTATATGCTATGATACACACAAAAATATGAAATCAGAAGTTTACGTTTTTACATACCTGCTTATTTTCACTTCCATCAAGCCATTCTTGTTCTTCCTTGGGTGCTGTTTTAATGTCATTATTTGTTGGAGAAGACTTGACATTTTTTAACTCAAGTTCTGTGCTTTTATATTGATTAGTATTGCAGTGAGGAAGGAAATGCCTCTTGAGATGTTTTGGTATTGGTTTTAACTTGATTCTGCCTGTAACTACAAAACACTAGACTTTATTATTTGAATCATATGCTTCAATTGTTAGTTTGGGTAAGCCACAAGTCCAAAATGTTTTCTGGGCCACTGAGGTGAGGCACATATCCAGGGTCTAATTCAATTAGTGATATTTTGTTTAATATTTTTTGGCATTTACACAGGTAACTCTAGTGTCCCTTACAGATCTATATTTCTACTTAAATATGTTAATTATCAGTGAGAGGAAAGCTACAATCTTAAAAAAAATAGCAAATAACTCATTTTATCAATCGAAAGCTTAAGCTTTAATCTTTCATTGAATATTTAATTCTTTAAGAAATACCTCTGACTTCCAAATTATCAGCAAACAACTTGAGGAGACAGCAGATATCTTCCTGTGTACTAAATATAATCATGTAAGCCACTCAGAAGTTTATGCTAAATACCAGCCCACACAAAATTATCTATACTCTTGTCTCTATTGTTTATATGTGAACTCGAGCTCAAGAATAAAATGATTTTCTGAATTATATCCTGTTGACTTTAGGTGGCATAAGAGGAGTAATCCAAAAGTGAACCCTGGAACAAAATGATGTTTGAAAGTCACACTATGAAATTATGCAGTCACACAGAAGTGCTCCAGGGTTAAATTCTGTGCTCTGATTTCCTCAGCTATTACTTTTATCTGTCCATGAGATTCCATGGATATTGATGGATTTTGGTCACAGAGTTAATAAAACAGTTATGTATCATCAATTGTCAAATTTGTATATCTTTGACACCTCTTATTACTGAGAATCAAAGGATAATCAAACTAGTAGGCAGCTGGGGGCAGAATCACAGTCTGAAAAACTTAAAGTTATTGTTCAACCATAAATGAAAATATACAAATAAGATTAACATATACAAATGCATTAATTAAAAATTAGTTTAGTTCCAATATAGAAGCAAAGTACACAGAATTTCAGAATGCTCTAACTGGTATTTATCTGAAATATTTTTATCATTTTGATAAAAGATAAACTATCATATTTAAATATTTTAAGACAAGTCTAGAACAAAATCAGAAAAACAGAAAAATTGTTATAGAATGCTATTATTTAATAAATATAAATTTTTAAATACAACTTTTGGATGATAGTGGTTCTTCCCCCCATAACTTCCCTCCCACTTGCAACCATCCCATTTCCTACTCCCTGTCCCATCCTATTCTTTATTAAGATTATTTTTAATTATCTTTATATATAGAAGATCAACTCTATACTGAGTAAAGATTTCAACAGTTTGCACCCACACAGACACACAAAGTATAAAGTACTGTTTGAAGACTAGTTTTACCATTAATTCTCATAGTACAACACAGTAAGGACAGACGTCCTACAAGGGGAGCAAGTACACAGTGACTGCTGTTCTTGATTTAACAATTGACACTCTTATTTATGATGTTAGTGATCACCTGAGGCTCTTGTCATGAGCCGCCAAGGCTATGGAAGCCTCTTGAGTCCACAAACTCTGACATTATTTAGATAAGGCCATAGTCAAGTGGAAGTTCTTTCCCACCCTCAGAGAAAGGTATCTCCTTCGTTGATGGGTCGTTCTTTCCACTGGGATCTCACTCACGGAGATCTTTCATTTAGGTCATTTTTGCCAGTGTCTTGGCTTTCAGTGCCTGAAATACTCTCATGGACTTTTTAGCCAGATCCAAATACCTTAAGGGCTGATTCTGAGGCCAGAGTGCTGTTTAGGGCATCTGCATTCTATGAATCTGCTGTGTATCCTGCTTCCCATGTTAGGGCATCTGCCATTCTATGAATCTGCTCTGTATCCCACTTCCCGTGTTGGAGTGTTCTCTCCTTTTTAATTCTATCAATTATTATTAGCAGACACATATTATTTATGTGATCCCTTTGACACTTAATCCTATCTTTATTATCAAATATGAACTTAAACTAGTTAAACTTAAACACTTTAACTAGTAAGATAGCATTGGTACCTGTGAACTTAATGGGATTTGGAGTCCCATGGCAAGATTTTAGCTTTACCCTTTAGGAGTAAGTCCGAGGGATCATGTGCCAAACTGTACATCTCCTCCCTATCTTATTCCCACTCTTATTTTTAACAGAAGTCAATTTTCAATTGCATTTAAACACCTAAGAATAACTGTGTATTAAGTAAAGAGTTCAACCAATGGTATTAAGTAGAAAAAGAAAATATTAAAAAGAATAAAATAGTAAGCTGTTCCTCGATAGTCAGGACAAAGGTTGATCAAGTCATTGCTTCTTGTGTCAGTTTCACTTTACAGGTTTCCTTTTAAGTGCTCAGTTAGTTGTCACAGATCAGGGACATATGATATTTTTCCCTTTGGTACTGGCTTATTTCACTCAGCATAATATTTTCCAGATTACTCCATTTTGTTGCAAATGACCAGATTTCATTTTTTACCACTGTGTATTATTCCATAGAGTACGTATTTCATAATTTATCTATCCAGTCTTCTGTTCATGGGCATTTAGGTTGATTCCATGTCTTCGTTATTGTGAATGAGCTACAAATAACTTTGAGGTGCAGATAGCTTTTTTATTTGCCAATTTAATTTCTCTTGGGTAAATTCTGAGGAATGGGATGGCTGGGTCGTGTGGTAGGGTTATATTCAGAAGAAATAAAACTTAAAGGTGATTCCATCACCAGGGACTGCATTAACATTTGGGTAAGACTACAAAGGGTTTCAAGTAGTAATTCTAAATTCTGATCCAAGTTGGTATGTTCAGGTGCCAAAAAATCCAATCAAATAATTTTAGGTGTTAATTGCAATTTTCAATCCATTCTCTTAAAAGTGCAGAATCAACTTTTTCAGAGAGATATGCCATAAATACTATTAGTTGTAACAGTTAATGGGTCATGGATATTGGAATGTAGGACTCTGCATGCTTGTACTTAATTTCCCAGTTTTCATATCTAATAAACTAACTATGAACAGAGCAGTCCACTAAGTAAAGGATCTCCAAATACTCACAAGGATTTTAATGGTAAAAAGAACCCTAAGATGAGAATGTTTAGAGTTCTAATTTACAATTAAATTATTTGGGGACACTAAATCAGTTCTTAAAGAAAATTTAAAGTATATATTTTTATTCTATATTGACACATCATTGTGGCATAGAATATGTTGTTTCCATATGTGTATTGTATTATACAATGCATAATGATCAGATTAGATCATTATTAGCATACCAGTCACTTCAAATATTTATTCTTTGGGAAAATTCCAAATCTTATTAACTATTTTGAGATTGCAGTTCCTCTTCTGTGCTTTAAAATGATTAAGTATGTCTCTGTTCTCTGTAATCACACACACACACAAATGAGAGTATGCTAATCAGAACATCACTAGGATGGAACAATTAAAACAAATGAAATTTTAGGAATAATGTTCCAATTTAGGTAAGATCAGAATTCTATGACATTTTAAACCATTAAAATTTTATATCTTAATTAACTTATGTCAGTCCTAATAAAAGATAGGAATTTTAAACTAGGCACTTCAGGGTATCAAAAAATGAAAGGTATTTTTTAGCATCTCAGTTAAAGGTTACAGTCTATAGATGAGAAATATATTTTTTTCAGACATGAATCTGAAAATGATATCTGCATTATTTGTGCCAAAACCTTTTATCAAATCTGCAGACAAAAATAATTTTTAGAATGAAGATTGAAGGCATTTCAAATACTGTGTTTCTTTCCAGATAACATTTGTACTGCAAAATTACCTTGTCTGCATGTTTGTACTTCATTCATTCCCACTGATGTTGCCAAAAAGGGATGTATTGCTTCCAGACGAGGCTGAAGGAGTTTTGAAACAAGATAGTTAACAATGCATATTTCATATAATATGTATTTAATTAGAGAAAAATGTAAAATACACATTATTACCAGCTATTGAGAATATTCAAGACAAAAATGTAAACGTTATTACCGTCAATTCAGTGGATCCCTTAGCAAACTCTAAAAAGCAAAAGAGATATACAGTCAATTATATGTAAATATGACAAGGCCGACAATATATGGTGCAGGTTTAGCATTGCGCTAAGTCCACATGTGTGGCTATGGAAATGATTACTGTAGGTTTGGGGGAAGCGGTTTATATTTGGGGTGCTAGGAAACAACATGCAAGATAGAAGTATATATAAAACATACAAACCAGAGTTCTATCAAAAATAAGTTCCTAGTATTACACAGCATAGTTGAGCAACTATATTACAGTAACCTATCTTATAATGAAATAAAAGGAGTACCAAGCTTTAATAATATCATGTGAAAGAAAGGAACATGCCAATTACCCTGATCTCATCAAGATATGTTGTATACATATAATGAAATGTCACACTGAATTCCATAAACATATATAATAATTTTAATAAAAATAAAAATAAAAAATCAAATAAAATTCAACAAAATAGACCTATGGGTTTAATAAAACACGCCACTAAGATTTCAAAACGTATGACAATGTCTCAAAAAGTATGACTGTTAATTAAGCAAAAAGGTACCCATATGCCAAAGTGAGCATGCTGAGTACTGGGGACAAATGTGATCTTTAATCAAAGGAACAAATCATGACCATGAGAGTCTAAATGAGAAAGCTGATGGTCGAATGTGACAGCATACCTTTACTGTACACATCAGAATCATTTATTCCATTGTGCTACAATTGTTTTTCGGTGTCTCCTGTATTTTGGAAGCGTACAGTTGTGATGAAAGATGAATATATAATTCATTTCTTAGCAGAGAAAGTGGTCTGACCTCATCAATTGGTTTATATACTTGGCTTTAGATAATAACACATAGTCCCAGTTTTCTATATTATGGGGACTACTGGTTTGTGTACATTTCTTTCCTCCTCTAGTTTAGCTTTGAAAGATTTTACTTATTTATCTGAAAGACGGAAGAAGATAGATGAGAGAGATAGAGAAATATCTTCCATCTACTCTTCAAATGCCCACAAAAGCCATGGCAACATCAAATGGAGGGGTCGGCACTGTGGTGTAGCAGGTAAATCAGCTGCCTGCTATGCCGGCATCCCATATAGGCACCAGTTTGAGACCCGGCTTCTCCCCTTCCAAACCAACTCTCTGCTGTGGCTTGGGAAAGCAGTAGAAGATGGCCCAAGTCCTTGGGCCCCTGCACCCACTTGGGAGACCCAGAAGAAGCTCCTGGTTCCTGACTTCAGATCAGCTCAGCTCCAGCCTTTGTGGCCATTTGGGGAGTAAACCAGCAGATGGAAGACTTATCTCTCTCTCTCTCTCTCTCTCTCTCTCTGTGCATCTCCTTCTCTGTGTAACTCTTTCAATTAAATAAATTTTAAAAAAAATCAAGTGGAAGCTAGGAGACTGGATTGCCTTCCAGCTCTCACACAAGTGTTGCAGAATCTCAAGTACTTGGGTCCATCATCCACTGCTTCCCAGGCAGTTTTTCAGGAGGATGAACCTTAAGTGTGGCACCCGAATACGGAATACAGGCATCCCAACAGGTGGCTTAACCTACAGTCCCACAGTGCCTAGCCCTAGTTAGATGTCTTAAAGATTTTATCCCCTGATTCAAGAAGGTACATAGAACATATATAAGTAATTGCATATAATATGCTTTTGACACAGAAACCTAGTCATCAAAAAGAATAAATTCACTAAGCTGCCACAGAATTATTAATATCACTTTTATGCTAAATCAATGCAATATTTACTGAAAAATTCTGGTATTGAAGGAATGAAGTCTATGATATCTTGTTTCCAAAACACATTTATTCTAGCATAGTATGCTAACTTTAATTTTGTGAAACTACTTTATAAAAAATTTAGGTATAAGATAAGCCAATGATTCAATATTCAAATTTTTCTCATTTAAATAGCATCCATGCAATTTATATCACTAGTGCTTGAGAATTAAATGAAGTTCAAATGAGTGGCTGCAATACCAGCACGCCATCCTGTTTTTGGTAATCTCTGGAGCAGCAATAACCTAATGTGTTTAAATGTGAACATACAGAAGGCATCTGAAGTGAATATTCTCATGTTTCCTCATTAGTAACTCTAAATTTACCAGGTTCACTTCATTCTCTCTTCTTCCCTCTTCAGAATCATCCCTCCTTATCAAAAGTAATCTCTGGATCTGTGCTCTGGATTCTTCGCCTTACCATTAATTTTAGGGACTATCCACACCACTTATTTTCCCATTTATCGCTACAATTTACAGTTCTAACTTCTATTTCAACCTCCCTTCAACTCTCCTTGCCTTCCCCAGAGCCTCTCAAACTTTACTCCTTCTTGGCTTCCTTCTTTCCTCTCATTCCTGTTTCCAATTTCTCCCTCTCCTCTCCTCTCTTCCCCTCCCCTTCCCTCACCTCTCTTCCCCTCCCCTCTCCTTCCCTCTCCTCCCCCTTCTTCCCCTCCCCTTCCCTCTCCTCCCCCTTCTTCCCCTCCCCTTCCCTCTCATCTCTTCCCCTCCCCTCTCCTTCCCTCTCCTCCCCCTTCTTCGCCTCCCCTCCCCTCTCCTCACCTTCCCTCTCCTCTCTCTCTCCCCTCCCCCGCTCTCCTCTCCTCTACTTATCTCCACTCACTTCCCTCCCTCCATCCCTTCCTCCTTCCTTCCTTCCTTCCTTCCTTCCTTCCTTCCTTCCTTCCTTTCTTCCTCCCCTTTCATCCTCTGGATAGGAACATGCTGAGAAATAAAAACAAAAAATACTCTCCCTCTATCCTTTTAGTTCTTGAATACTTCTCCCAAGGTCCTTCTTTCAAATATCTCTGAAGGGAAACATATAACCCTAAAGCTCACCAGGGATCGTGATGAAAATGCAGAATCCCACATTTAAGGAAACAAAATGTGCATGCTGAATAAGGTCCCCAGAGATTCTTAAGTTTAAGAAGTTCTAGTCTTTACAAAGCTTCCTAATATATTCCTTTTCCTTAACTCCCCTTTCTGGAATGTAGCCTTAAGTTCATCCCTGCCACATCCCCCAAATTTAAATGGCATAAGATGTCATGGTTTAATGGGCTTTTTCTCAGGCAGTTAATTTTATTTCACCCTTTTCCCCATTCTAATTTCATTTAAAAAGACTAAAATTACCAAGTAATGAAATGACAAGTCAACCAGAAGAAAAATAGAACATTCAGAAATACATGGAGATGGGCAAAGGACATGAATGGACAGTTCTCAAAAGAAGAAATACAAATAGTCAATACACACACACACACACACATAAATATATATAATACTTAATATTACTAGCCATTAGGAAAATGCAATGAGAAAATTACCATGAGATATCACCTCAGCCCTCAGAATGGGGGCTCTCCCTCATTCTGAATCCTCATTCCCTGACTTTATTCTGATTGTAGGTTATCCTGAAATAGAGCTAATACTTCAGCTCCTCTGGGGCACTCACAATTTAATGCATTGCTAACTAGTGGCACAATACACAGCTTACCACTCTCATTTATCTTTTCCTTACTATGCATTTAATACACAACTTTCTTCAGCTATTGGTATACATCAATATTCATGTCTTAGATAAACATCTGTCAACTGGCTTTAAAAACTACAGTTCTTACCTTCCAGTGGTTCATTCATATCTTTTCCTTTTGCATCTGCTGCCATTGATTGATTAATGGATTCCTTCCAAGAATTTGTAGAAATAGTCTATTAAAGTTAATGCCAATAATGAGTTGCATACACTTCCCAACAATGTTCTAAAAGAATCTTAATTTTCCACTTTCTAAAGAGTTCCACTTTATAAAGGCAAAAATAAGATCAGCATGTTTTATACAAATTCTCAAGATCAGGCCTAACTTTGAGTTTCATGTTACTGATTCTATAAATGCAGCATGGAGGTTCAGAGGAACAATAACTTATGATACTAATAACATATTTTAGCTACAAACTAACTCAAAAAGTCAACTCTGCATTGTATTCCCCAATAAAATAAAGAAGACAAACTAGAAAAACACATTGAAAAATTATAGTGTTATAATACAGAGTTAAACACATGAACAATTTCTAGGTTTTGTCTTAACATTCTAAACATAAGAAACTTCAAAGTATGCCATACTGAGTATAAACAGAACATCTCAGAAGCTGTACATTTACATACACAGTGGTTTAGAAATGCTAAGTTTTCTTTTTATTTACTTATTTGACAGGTCAAGAAATACAGAGAAAGAAAAATATAACACGGAGAGAAAAAGAGAGAAAGAGACAGACAGGCTAGGGAGTATATCAGTTCACTGGTTCTGTCTCCAAATGCCACCACTTGTCAGCCATGGGCCACACCAAAGCTGAGAGCCAAGAACTCAGTCCCAGTCTCTGATGTGGATGGCAAGAACACAATTACATTAGCTTAGACCCGTTGCTTACAGGGATGCACATTAGTTGGAAGCTGGATTTGGAATTAAGACATTAACCCAGGTACTAAGATGTAGGCTGCCAGAATCCCAACTGAGCTCTTAAATGCTAGGCAGAATTCCTGTCCTAAATATTATTTAATACAATGTTTAAACACGTGAAGATGGTTTGAATGAAATAGCAGGAGAGTAAGTAAAATTTTCCTTTATGTTATGCTTCGTAACAGTATGCAAAAACCTGTATTAGTATGCAACTCACTGAAAGAAAGAAATACTGTGAAGATTGTACTGTAAGCTTTAATAAGAATAAGTGTATTTTTCTGCTTCAGCTTCTAACATGTGTCTGACACTCATTTGCATCATTTATTTTCTACACACAATAACATATTAAAAAAAGATTGAGGGTGATGGTTAGTCCACTACCTGCATCTTGCTAATTTCTGGAAGTGAAGAATAAAATAATAAACAGAGGTGATCCACTAATCTTTCTGTCCATAATGTCCTCCTTCTAGACATTCAGAGCGAATGTACATTCTCATTCTTATGCTGGGCAGCATCAAATCAGTAGCCCTATTTTTTCCCTCTGCCTACAGAATTCCACCATACAAACCATTCCAACACGAAGCACAGACACCCTCAATATCTCTATTCAACAGTCTCTCATTACTTTTTATGAGGCATTTAGAGGTAACTGTTAGTGCTTGTTACCTTGATTTTCTGTTCCAACCATAAGAGAAGTAGCCCAAACCTGTAAAGTCAGTGCCTAACTGCCCTACCACATAGTTGGAACTCACCAACAAAATTTATTTAAGGTGTCAATTAAAATATTACCAGAAAGGCCTCAAGTATAAAGTTACTATATTCCTATAGAAAATTTCCAAAAGAAATCATCCCTGAATTAGAAAAAGTTCCAAGGTAGTTAGTATTCATATATTTGGTCACTGGTAGAGTGGAAACATTCTTTATTTCTTAGAAAAGATTATTCTTAAAACTCAACAAATTCCTTGTGATACCTAAACCTTTCTTTTTCACTGCATGGTACTGGATTTATGAAAGAAACCTTGAGTTTACACAGCTGTAAAGTACTTAGCACATAGTTGAATTACTCATGGGATGGGGAAATGTGAGGAACTAATTCCTTATAGGTATGCACTAAAGAGAGAAAGAAAGGGGAAACAGTCTCTTTGCAAGTGGTTGGTCAAATGGTGAAGAAGCTAAGTCTAAAGGATTATGTCTGATGTGAGAGTGCCTGGGCTTAAGTCTAGGCTCCAGCTCAGAAATCTAGCTTCCTACAAATGTGGGCAGAGTGAGGCAGTTGGTGGTGACTCAAGTACTTAAGTTCTAGCCATCCACATGGGAGACTGGAACTGAGTTTCCAGTTCCTGTATCTCAGCTTCAACGAGGTTATGTTCCTGGAGTTGCAGGCACACATAGGGATTGACCTATAGGACCCAAGAGAGTTCTGCGTGTCTCAACTGGCATGTGAGTAGGTATCTATCTGTGTTATCTCTGTGTCTGCCTTTTGTGTCAATATCTTCAACAAGGTACAAAAAGCCTTAAGGAAAAGATATAAACTATAATAGGTGTTTAGCTTCTAAACTGTGCCAGACTAGGGGGAGCAATTTGACAGGGTAAGCTGTTCCTGGGGACACTGGCATCCCATAGAGTAGTGCCTAACCTACTATATTCGTACTCCAGATTCTAGATCATGTGCATGCTGCGAGGCAGGTATGGCTTATATACATGAGTCCCTGCCAACCCTGCGGAGGGTCCACCAAATACCAAACTCCTAGATAGAACCTGCCCAGTCCTGAATGTTTCAAGTATTTGTGCAGTAAATCATTGCACTGAAGATCTCTCTGTTGGTTTGCCACTAAAATAAGTGAAAATAAGTAACATTAAAACATGCCAGGCACTTATTTTCACATTTTCTTTATTAAACTGATCACATAACAATGGCTGCAATTATGGTTGTCCCACTTTAAAGTTTTGCTAATACCCAACTATAACAACCAAATGATAAAAAATGAGACCCACTAGTTTTCTGCCCAGAATATTCTAATCCTAGACTTTCACACACATGATTCCATCTCATCCGTTCGTTGGCAGCATCATAGTTACATTCAGAAAGGTTTTCTCTGACTAAGGAATTCCAAAATCAACTCCCACTACTATGCTAAGGAAAAAAAAAATCAGATTTAAATATATTTGCTCAGTACACATAACTGAGGTAAATGTTGGTACCATTTTCCTAAATGTGGTAACACACAAATAGCTTATATCTTTATTTTTAAGGCAAGATAGATAGTAACTTATAGATCAGCATAAGAGTATGGCTTATAACTTAGTGAAATGCCTGACCCCAAGGCAGCAGCTGTTCAAACCTAAGAACTTAGGCTTGTTTTCACTCACTGTCCAGCCGTCACCATAGAAAACACAATTTTATATGTATGTAATGACTAACATTGCTGCCATAAAAGTAATCAAGACATTTTCTTTTCTTTTTTAATAAAGATCTTATTCACTTATTTGAGAAGCAGAGTTACAGATAGGATGAGAGACAGAGAGAAAGGTCTTCCATATGCTGTTTCACTCCCCAGATGCCCACAATGATTGGTGCTGGGCTGACCAGAAGCCAGGAGCCAAGAGCTTCTGCACAGTCTCCTATGTAGGTATAGAGCCCAAGCACTTGGGCCATTGTCTACTGTTTCCCAACGCTATAGCAGAGAGATGGATTAGAAGAGGAGCATCTGGGTCTCAAACAAGTGCCCATATGGGATGCTGACACCGGAGGTGGAGGCTCAGCCTACTATGCCACAGCACTCAATCTGGGGGAATTTTAATTTCAAAATTGTTTTTTTATGTTATTTTTATTTAGTAAATATAAATTTCCAAAGTACAGTTAATGGATTACAATGGGTTCCCCCCCATAATTTCCCTCGCACTCACACCCCTCCCATCTCCCGCTCCCTCTCCCCTTCCATTGACATCAAGATTCATTTTCAATTATCTTTATATACTGAAGATCAATTTAGTATAAATTAAGTAAAAATTTCATCAGTTTGCACCCACACAGAAACACAAAGTATAAAATACTGTTTCAGTACTAGTTATAGCATTACTTCACATTGGACAACACACTAAGGACAGATCCCACATGAGAAGTAAGTACACAGTGACTCCTGTTGTTGACTTAACAATTTGACACTCTTTATGGCGTCAGTAATCTCCCTAGGCTCTAGTCATGAGTTGCCAAGGCTATGGAAGCCTTTTGAGTTCGCCAACTTCGATCTTATTCCAACAGGGTCATAGTCAAAGTGGAAGTTCTCCCCTCCCTTCAGAGAAGGGTACCTCCTTCTTTGATGGCCCTGTTCTTTCCACTGGGATCTCACTCGCAGAGATCTTCCATTTAGGTCTTCTCTTTTTTTTTTTCCAGGGTGTTTTGGCTTTCCATGCCTAAAATACTCTCATGGGCTCTTCAGCCAGATCTGAATGCCTTAAGGGCTGATTCTGAGGCCAGAGTGCTGTTTAGGACATCTGCCATTCTGTGAGTCTGCTGTGTATCCCGCTTCCCATGATGGATCATTCTCTCCCTTTTTGATTCTATCAGTTAGTATTAGCAGACACTAGTCTTGTTTGTGTGATCCCTTTGACTCTTAGACCTGAATATAACCCTACCATTCAACCCAGCCATCCCACTCCTTGGAATTTACCCAAAGGAAATTAAATCGGCAAACAAAAAAGCTGTCTGCACATTAATGTTTATTGCAGCTCAATTCACAATAGCTAAAACCTGGAACCAACCCAAATGCCCATCAACAGTAGACTGGATAAAGAAATTATGGGACATGTACTCTATAGAATACTATACAGCAGTCAAAAACAACGAAATCTGGTCATTTGCAACAAGACGGAGGAATCTGGAAAACATCATGCTGAGTGAATTAAGCCAGTCCCAAAGAGACAAATATCATATGTTCTCCCTGATCGGCGACAACTAACTGAGCACCAAAGGGGAAACCTGTTGAAGTGAAATGGACACTATGAGAAACAGTGACTTGATCAGCTCTTGTCCTGACTGTTGATGTACAATGTAATACTTTATCCATTTTAGTATTTTCTCTTTGTTTTGTTCTAGTACCATTGGTTGAACTCTGTGATTAACACACAATTATTCTTAGGTGTTTAAATTTTAACTGGAAAGTGATCCCCGTTAAATATAAGAGTGGGAATAAGAGAGGGAGGAGATGTACAATTTGGGACATGCTCAATCAGACTTGCCCCAAATGGTGGAGTTAGAATCATGCCAGGGGATCCCAATACAATCCCATCAAGGTGGTATGTACCAATGCCATCTCACTAGTCCAAGTGATCAATTTCAGTTCAAAATGGTTTTTATTTAAAGGCCCCCACTTATCCAAAATCTTATTGCTATAATCTAACATTTTTATATTCTCCACGTTTCCCCTTCACTGAAATATTCTTTACAGATTGACAATTGACAATACAAATATAATAATGATGATTTGAGGGCCGGTGACATGGCTCAATAGGCTAATCCTCCACCTGCAGCGCCGGCACTCCGGGTTCTAGTCCCGGTCGGGGCGCCGGATTCTGTCCCGGTTGCCCCTCTTCCAGGCCAGCTCTCTGCTATGGCCCGGGAGTGCAGTGGAGGATGGCCCAAGTCCTTGGGCCCTGCACCCGCATGGGAGACCAGGAAAAGCGCCTGGCTCCTGGCTTCGGATCAGCGCAATGCGCCAGCAACAGCGCGCTGGCCACGCCGGCCACTGGAGGGTGAACCAACGGCAAAAGAAGACCTTTCTCTCTGTCTCTCTCTCACTGTCCACTCTGCCTGTCAAAAAAAAAAAAATAATGATGATTTGAAGTGTCAGGTATTGATTTGTGAGTTCCAAACTGTGAAAACCCACAGATAAAACAGTTCCTTTTCAAAAGCACATTAGGATGATTAGTCATCCTTGTAGCTACCATAGAACCAGACATTTGGCATAAATTGCACTGTGATAAAACCATACATTTTAGCTAAATTTTGGAAACTAATTCCTAATTACTTGTGTTAATTAGGCCTTATGTTTTGAACTGTACTGTACTGGCTGCATTAAATTAGTCATGTAGAGAATTGTCACAGTGCACTAGTGCATCAGGAAAATACTCATCACATGATGAAAATGTAAGGAAATAATTCTAATAGGAACACACAGAGGTGAGAAAGAGACATCAAGTCATACCATTCGCAGCTATTTGTCATAGTGTCTCAGACACTAATAGAGCACCTGAATACACTATGTCAGTGCCTGGATTCCATTTCTGGTTTTGGATATGGTATTAAAAATCCTGTTGGGAAGGCCAAAATTGTGGCAAAGTGGGTAAAGCTGCTGACTGCTATGTTGGCACCCCAGGTGGGCCTCAGTTCATAATTATGCTGTTAGACTTCTGATCCAGTGCCCTGCAAATGGCCTTTGAAAAGTAATGGAAGAAGGCCCTTATGTTTGGGCCCCTGCCACCTACCTAGGAGAACCAGATGAAGCTCCTTTCTTTGGCCTGGCTTAGCCCTGACATTGTGACCACTTGTTGAGTGTGCCAGTGAAAGGAAGTAGTCTTTCTCACTGTATCTCCCTTTCTCTGTATCTATGACTTGGAAATAAATAAGTAAACCTTAAAAATCCTGCTGTGGCTGGTGTGTGGTGCAATACGTGAATCTGCCACTGGCAATGCAGCATCTCATAGTTCCATACTGGAATGTCAGTTTGAGCCCCAACTGTTATTCTCCTAATCCACCTCCTGCCCATGCAACTGGGAAAGCAGCAGAAGAATGGCACAAGTATTTGGTCTACTGTCACCAAAATTTGAGACTTGGCTAGAGCTTTGGGCTCCTGGCTTCAGCCTGGCCCAGCCCTAGCTGCTGTAGCCATTTGGGGAGTCAATTAGTGGATGGAAGAACTCTTTGTCGCTCAATTCTTTCATCCCTCCATCTCTCCATCTTTATCTGTCATTCTGCCTTTCAAATAATAGAATGAATCTCATTAAAAATTTCCAGCTAATACAGACTTAGAAAGGCATGAGGTGATGTCTCAAGCAGTTAGGCCCCTGACAGGGAGACCTGGATGGAGTTTTGAGAACTTAGCTACTGGCTTTGGTTGGGTCTTGTCCCAATCATACCAGAGATTTGGAGAGTAAATTTGTATGTGATAGCTCTGTGGGTTTGCCTTTCATCTCTCTCTGCCTCTTGGTTTCTCAAATAAATGTTTAAAAGACCAGAGAATCAAGAACCATACTCTTCTGTGCTTTAGGTTCTTCTCTATTCAGGATGACCTCCTCCTGCACATTCACAGGGATGGCCCCAACTCTTCCTTTACTTGGCAGTGGCATAGTCACATTCCAAAGAAAAAAAAATCTCTGAATACAGAATTCTACCCCACGTTCCACCTTTAACCTTATGGAAAATCCCCTGAATATTTTGCAGCCCCACATTCTCTGCTAGATTTATATGAAGGGTGGATAACAAATTATCGTGGATTGCTGCTTGCTATGACATTCTAACCATGACAGAAGTAGCCCCTTTTAATATATTCACTGTCTAAAATTCAAGCTTATATTAGGCACAAAACAAAAATAATTATTCATTTTAAAACATTCAAAATATCTCCAGAAAGGCCTGAAGGGCCCCGTCACTATATTAACATAGGAAATATAGTAATGATGCAGTAATAAGACTAAACATTTCATGCCAAATCAAATTTCTCAGTTTTTTCATGACACTGCCACTGAGTCACACTGGACTTCAGATTTTAAAAAGTCTACTTGCAAACATAAGTAACTGACATCACTGGATGCTTTTTTCTTCATTCTGTATGTATTTCACTGTTTGCATCATGTTTGCTTATTTCTTGCCACGTTATTTTATTGTACTGCCTAAAAGTTAGATATCAATCATTCAGGTGTGGCCACTGGGATTCAAATGACTTATATCACTTTTCACAAGACTCCATTACCAGGGAAAGGCCAGCATGTTAACAAGTCTTAGGACTTCAGTGAAGTCACAGAAATCAGTATGAAGCAACTGCTCAAGTCAGAAAGCAAATCCTATCTCATTTCCAGTTGCCACTATGAACATCACCATTATTAATACTTATGTGGTTATGAATATTGCTAGCATGAAGTTACTCAGTATTTTACATTTAAAATGTCTTATGTTTATCAAAACACAGCTAAATCAAAATGATGAAATCTTTACTTAATATATACTAAATCAATCTTCTGTATATAAAGATAATTGAAAATCAATCTTGACGTGAATGGAATGGGAGAGAAAGCAGGAGATGGGAGGGTTGCAGGTGGGAGGGAAGTTATTGGGGGGGGGAAAGCCCTTGTAATCCATAAACTGTACTTTGGAAATTTATATTTACTAAATAAAAGTTTAAAAAATGCCATATGATCTAGCAATCCCACTTCTGCTTATACACCTAAAGACAGGAAAGCACTGTATTGAGGATATCTGTGCACCACCATATTATAGCTGCACTGTTCATAAAAGCAAAAAGAGGAATCAAAGCGCACTTCTAAAGATGAATGAACAGAAAAAAGTGCAGCACAGGTATCCAATGTAATAGTATTCAGTCATTTGAAAGAATGAACTTCTGCCATTTGCAGCAAAATGAATGCAACTGGAGGGCATGATGTGGGGGAAAAGAAGCTGGACGCAGAAAAACAAGTATCTCATGTTTTCCCTTAAAAGAGGCAGCTTAAATCGAAAAATGAAGATGAAAAGGCAAATAAGGCAGAAATGCTTGTGTGTTTCGATACTGTTGCAAATGTCGTCTTGATAAGCTTTGTTTTATACCTTTGTCAAGCTCGTGGTTAAGAATATTATGCTACTATAGATTCAATGATCTGGGATTACTTTGAAATTTATTGCAGATAAGTGAAATAGTCCTTTTTCCATTTCATTATTGTCTTTGGCCTTGTCTATATTCCTACTTTACTAGGCATTTTTTTGCTTTTTACTTGAAGAACCAAGTATTTACAGGAGCCATGGAATGTAATGTAGATCAAGGACATAAACTCAAGTAAAGCAGAGAAGGGGTAAAGTGAGAGGAAGCAGGGTGGGAGGCACAGAAGGAGAGGGATGGAGGACAAAGGCACATCATTATACTCTTAGAATTCCATGAGCTCTATGGAGCCTAATAAAACACTAAAAAGATATAGAGAGACTCCAGAAGATATGGATACCATAGTTATCATTGTAATTGTGAAGTCTATTTGTCTTCACAGCTTCTTCAAACAGATGATAATATTAAATGATTTTGAAACTAGCTGCCCTGGCTTCAAGCAAACACCAATTTTGTTTTAACAAGACTGAAATCAGGTATTTCCAAATCACAAGAAGACACACTACCTTCGAATTCCTTGGTGAGTTGCTGTCTTCAGGATCACTTTGGAAGGTAGACTCCTTACCTACAAATGCAGTAATAGATCAACTAGTGAGAACATTTATTCACATGGAAACAATTTACATAAAGGCGTGTCTCTCTCCACTCATGAATATTGCAATTAAATGAATATTTCAATGAAATAAAAGGAATAGTAAGGATGAATTTCAGAGGGTTGAAGCTGTTTCAGGAAGAAGTTGGTTATAAACAAAACGAAAAGAAAACCCTCAACATACATGGATATCCAATTCAGAGCTACTCATTTCTCTTCATTGTATTTTAATAGTAAGTTTTGATAGATATGCACTCACTACGTTTGTTATCTTTGTCCAATCCGTGATCAGAGTTCATAATTAGCTGGTGTGGATCAACTTGAGTGATGAAAAAACATTTTTTACTCTTCTTACCCGCTAGAGCTGACGTTCCTGCCTACAGAACAATAAAATACAAATTCAACACATATATCCAATTTCTTCAACCCCTCAGCTACTCATTCAGTGAGACAGGATTTACTATGGGTATCAAGTACATAGGCCCAGTCCTTGAAAAATCTAAGCATATACACAAGAGCAGATTCTACCCCATGTTCAGCTAGAGGTAGACATGGGAAAATAGAACAGGAAAGTATAAACCACTATTTCTGCCACTGAAGTCAATATAGTTGAAGAAAAGGCAGAAAAGAGAATCCTCAATTCAGTCTTGAAGGTCAGGAAATACTGCTTGATTTCTGGCCGAGAGTTAGAATTGGGTACAAAATAAGGACAGAAAGCCATCCGAGGTGTGAGGTAGATAGCTCATCTGACTTCTTCACCACTGGGCCAAGAGTTTAGCTCCTAATTCTTTTTCCTAGGTTCTAAAGGCAAGAGAGTTGGCTGAAGCGAATGTCAAGACAGCCTCAAAACCTCTCCTTTACGTAGCTTCAGATAAGTAAGGGGAAGCTTGTATTACATGGGTACTAGGTATCCCACTCTCTCCCAGATAAGAAATATCGTCAAGAATATATGAACAAACAACAAATGTAACTCAGAAATGGACACAGCACCTCAACAGACCTGTCTCGAAATAAGAGATAGAAATGGCAATCAATATGACAGTATGTTCAACATCACCAACCACCAGGGAAATGCATATCAGTGCCTCAAAGAGATATCACACCACCCCTTCTCAAGATAGCGAAAATGTTTATCTGCCTGTCTTATGTAAGTAGCTGTCTCTCAAGTAACTGTATACCTTCAAGCAAACACCAATTTTGTTTTAACATCACTGAAATCAGGTATTTCCAAATCACAAGAAGACACACTACCTTCGAATTCCTTGGTGAGTTGTTGTCTTCAGGATCACTTTGGGAGGTAGACTCCTTACCTACAAAACAGTAATAGATCAACTAGTGAGAACATTTATTCACATGGAAACAATTTACATAAAGGCATGTCTCTCTCCACTCATGACTATTGCAATGAAATGAATATTTCAATGAAATAAAAGGAATAGTAAGGATGAATTTCAGAGGGTTGAAGCTGTTTCAGGAAGAAGTTGGTTATATTAAAAAAAGCCAAAGAATACCCTCAAAATAAATGAATATCCAATTCAGAGCTACTCATTTCTCTTCATTGTATTTCAATAGTAAGTTTTGATAGATATGCACTCACTACGTTTGTTATCTCTGTCCAATCCGTGATCAGAGTTCATAATTAGCTGGTGTGGATCAACTTGAGTGATGAAAAAACATTTTTTACTCTTCTTACCCGCTACAGCTGACGTTCCTGCCTACAGAACAATAAAATACAAATTCAACACATATATCCAATTTCTCAACCCCTCAGCTACTCATTCAGTGAGACAGGATTTACTATGGGTATCAAGTCATAGGCCCAGTCCTTGAAAAATCTAAGCATATACACAAAGAGCAGATTCTACCCCATGTTCAGCTAGAGGTAGACATGGGAAAATACAACAGGAAAGTATAAACCACTATTTCTGCCACTGAAGTCAATATAGTTGAAGAAAAGGCAGAAAAGAGAATCCTCAATTCAGTCTTGCAAGGTCAGGAAATACTGCTTGATTTCTAGCCGAGAGTTAGAATTGGGTACAAAACGAGGACAGAAAGCCATCCGAGGTGTGAGGTAGATAGCTCATCTGACTTCTTCACCACTGGGCCAAGAGTTTAGCTCCTAATTCTTTTTCCTAGGTTCTAAAGACAAGAGAGTTGGCTGAAGCGAATGTCAAGACAGCCTCAAAACCTCTCCTTTACGTAGCTTCAGATAAGTAAGGGGAAGCTTGTATTACATAGGTACTAGGTATCCCACTCTCTCCCAGATAAGAAATATCGTCAGAATATATGAACAAACAACAAATGTAACTCAGAAATGGACACAGCACCTCAACAGACCTGTCTCAAAAGAAGCCTCTCAGCTTAAAAAACACACATATACTAAAGCAAGTCACTGAATGCTTCAGTGATATCTTTGCTTTAACTTCTATGCATATTTTAGAGTTTACTGTTTTTGTTTTTTTTTTTTACATTGGCTACCACAGATGCTCATTACACCTACGTGGGCATTAAATACTGGCATATTTTATGAATGTGGTATATGGCATGCCAAAAGGCTATATCATCTTTCCAACGTACTGTAGCTAAAAGTGACAGTGCAACATACTAATATGTGCTATGACTTAAATAAAGTTAGTGATACCACTATACTGCTTAAACCTAAGAGCTCTGAACATAGCTACCTCACTCTCTTGTTGTCACAGTAAGAAAAAACATTTTAACTTATGTTAGTATGTACATATTTACCAAAAGGATAGTCCAAATTCATCCAATTCTAATTATCTCTATTTATGAAAACACCACCAAAGTGGTTGTCCTCCCACAAATTTACTACTTCGCATGTTATACCTTGCTCTAAATGTTACTACCTGCGTATCTCAGCTGCTATTCCGAAGATGTTAAGAATGCACTGAAACACAGGTATTAGGTTTTCAACTTGCAAGTTGTGGAAATAACACATCAATTTTGGTATCTAAAAATCTCATCAGCATGACAAGACATCTATAGATATACTGGAATCAGATGTCTGGTGTTACATTCTAAAACAATTCTGGTTTTTTGTTGTTGTTGATAAATATAATTTGCAGAGCAAATTTACTTCTTTATATTACCCAGGTCCTATTTATGTGTTTTGAATTATGCTACAATTGTCACACTAAATAAGTCAAGTAGAACTGTAGAAGACTACTAAAGTAGCAGGGCAATGGTTACAACATAATGCATTACTAATTGTTTGATGAAAACAAAGAAATCAGAGAGTGTATGCACACAGATGAAAAAGAAGAGCCACCCCAGTACTCAGTAGTCCCCTCCCCCAATGGCTCATGCTGTGCAGGACACCAGCATGCAATATGAAAAATTCCAGGGTTCCATTACCGACCCCTGTGCAGGAACCCAGCTTCCTGCAAACGTGCAATCATGGAGGGAGTCAATGATGTCTCAAGCTCTTGGGCCCCAGACACCCATGAGGGACACCTGGGTTGAGTTTCGAACTCCTGACATCTGCATTTGGCCTGGCTCTGTTCACGGCGTCACAAACATTTGGCAGGTGATCTCTCGGTGTCTGCCTCACTTACGTCTTTACTATCTCTCTTGATAAAGTGGTGGCAGAAAAAACAAGAACTCTTTTCTATATTTTACCATCGATTAATATAATACTCACATATAAAAGTCACAAGAAAACAAGGGACAGTACCTCAGACTTTAAGGAGTATTTTAAAGGCTCATCATCTGGTCTGAAGCCAGGCATATCTATAAAACATAGGCAGAGTTGTACTCATGAGAACATTTGTCAACCGTTGCTTTTTTTTTAAATATATTTTAATTTATTTGAAAGAGTTACACCGAGAGAGAGAGAGAGAGAGAGAGAGAGAGAGAGGTCTTCCATCCACTGGTTCACTGCCTATTGGCTGCAACAGCAAGAGCTATGCCAATCTGCAACAGGAGCCAGGAGCTTCTTATGGGTCTCCAATGTGGGCATGTGGGCATGTGGGTGCAGTGGCCCAAGGTCTTGCATCATCTTCTACTTTCCCAGGCCATAGCAGATATCTGGATGGGAAGTAGAACAGCTGGCACTTGAACCAGTGCCCATATGAGATGCCAGCACTGCAGGCGGGGGCTTTACCCACTACACCACATCGCCAGCCCCAACTGTTGCTTTTAAAAATTACGCATTCAGCTGAGTTCATCAATAATATACTAAAATTAAAGTAACAGCAATAAAGAATTTCAGCTAGAGGGCCAGTGCTGTGGCATAGCAGGTAAAGCCACGGCAATTCAGCAATGGCATACCATATGGCTATGGGTGCAAGTTCCAGTGGACCCCACTTCTGATCCAGCTCTCTGCTAATGTACCTGGGTAAGCAATACAAGATAGCCTGTCTTTGGCCCCTTGCACACACATGGGAGACCCAGATGACGCTTCTGGATCCTGGCTTTGGCCTGACCCAGTCCTGCCCATTGTGGCCATTTGGGGAGTGAACCAGCAGATGCAAGACCTCTCTCTCTCTCCAGCAGATGCAAGACCTCTCTCTCTCTCTCTGTCTCTCTTGCACACACTCTCCTCTTTCTCTCTCTCTCACACACACACACTCTGCCTCTATGCCTCTGACTCCACCTCTCCCTCTCTCTATCTCTTTCTGATAAAAACATAAATTAAAAAAAAAGAATTTCTGCTTGTTCAATCAGCACTTTAAACCAGGTTGAGTTGGACATATAAACAAATAGCGAAAGAAAAATCATCAAAATAATGGAAATCATTTCAGTTGAGACATTAGTACTTAAACAGTGTTTCACTGATAGATACTGACCAATAGTTTTGTCTTCTGGCACTCCAGCAATACCAGATAATGTGTCCTTTGCATGCTCTTGGGCACTTAGACTGACAGCCACATCCTTTTCAGTATCTCCACTTGATGCCATTGACGCTTTTCTCTACAGAAAGAAATAATGCCACAAATTCAGCAAACATTCATTCACGTGCTCAGCCAAACAGGAAGACGTTTGCTGTGCTTGGGAAGCAATAGGCGCGCTCAAACAATGAGCTAAATATAAGGAAAGAAGACAGATTCCATCCTGTAGACTAGGGGCAAATTGACCTCTGTCGAACAAAGAACAGAAAACCAGAATTCCTCATTTTCAACTATCGCAGTCAGTAAATTACAATGAGGGTAGGATGACAGAATCTTCAGCATGACTTTGAAAACTCAGCAAAGTCTGTAGGGTTAGGAACACATTTAGTACGGCAGAGAAAATGCAGGGGCAAAGCATGATGGGCCTTCTAAACAGAGCAGTGTGAACAAAAGGAGGAGGCAAAACATGGCAAATGAGGGTTAATAAAGTAAGGAAGTAAAATGGCCAACATATTATTGAAACTGAGAGAGACAGGTGCAGTATGTATCCAAGACCAAACCATGAATGCCTATGGCATGCTGGAATCAGAGCTCGGCAGCAATGGGCTCCATCTTTCTCATTCACCATTTGGTCAATGTAGAAGAATATTTATAGTTATGCTAGTACTAACATATCTATCATAAACATGTTGAATTCATTAAATTTTCCAAGATAGCCTGTGTTTATTAAAGACACCATTTAAACAGGCTTTATTTTCCCAAAAGAAAAATGAATGATTACTCATGTTTTACCTCATGCTGAAATGCCATTACTTCTGATTAATAATGGCATTTTGATTCATTATGCTTTTATTTGGAATTCTAAGCACATAGAAATGGCAGTCCAAATATTTCTCTCAAAATCTCATTCAGATGAACAGGTGGCATTAGATATCACAAAATAATGTTATTCACATTGGTGGAGCTAAAATAAACTTTTAATTTTCAAGATATAGCTAGTTTCCAAACCAAAACTGATTCCTTATCTCTCTCAGGCCTACTTTATTATTGTCTACGTTTAACTACACCAACGGAGTCACACACATGTGTAGATCTTCTCTAACGTGGCAGTGCACTGTTTACAATGCACTACTAACTTTATGATGGAAATAAATCATACAGGGCAGGCGTGAGAAAGGAAACTCAAACCTTCCTCTTTGTAGTCACTTGCCACAGTGGCTCGGATGCTAAGTGGGACAACAGCATACAGTATTTCAGGGTTCCTTTATTGATTCCTGCTTCTCTCCCTCGCATCTTACTGAGGCATATGCAAGGAAGAAATAGGTAGTGACTTAAGCTGTTGTGTCCCTGGCTCCCATGGGAGGCCTGGGTTTAGTTTCTGACTCCTTTCACCTGGAATAGGCCTGGCAGGCATCTGGCCGGTATACTGTCTGTGTGTGTCTGCACACGCATCTTTCTTATCTTTCTCTCTGCCTTTGAAATAATTTTTAAAAGGCAAAAAAGGAGCAACTACACCTTTACACATCTCAGCATCAATTAATGCTCACATTTCAAAGTCACAAGAAAGTAAAAGGCAATAGCGCAGATTTGGAAGTGGATTCCAGACATTCATCTTCTGATCTGGAGGTAGCCACTGGATTTACAAAACCTAATCACAGCCCCTTGAATGAGAACATGTATTTCTATGAAGTTTATAGGTAAATCCACAATCTACCACCATTCAGGAATATTGCAATAAAATGACAGTAGTGGCAATAAAGTGCAGAATGTAGAAACTATTGTAATAGGGAGATACTTAGCATATACATAAAGCTAAAGAAAATGCAAAAGGAAATGAATGTCATAATGGGACCTACACTTCCCAGTTTCAACAGCAGCAATGATACCGTGATTCATTAAAATATACTGACCTCTTTGGCTATCCTTGCCCAACTACATGACAGGAAATAATCCAGAATATCTCCTTCTGGGACACCTCCAGTGGCAGCACGACCTTCACCCTTTCCACTTGATGTTTCTTCCTATGCCAAAAATTAATTAATTAACTAATTAATAAATACTAAAGCAAAACAAGCAATCCAGAAACTCAGCAAACAATCAGTGGCTCCATCACTAAGATACAATTTAATCTGCTTGTCAATTCCTAGGCACATTTCCTCCAGAAAGATAAATATATAAACAGAGGTATTTTCTACCCTATGCTAAGTGGGAGCAGATACATAGGAAAACAAAGAATAGGAGCATATAATTCATCACTTCTACCACTGAGGTAAAAAAAAAATAAGCTACAGTAAAGGCTGACTTGAAACAAGACCCACAGCTTTCAGCATATACAAAAACTCAATTCAAAATGGATCAAGGAACTAAACTTAATACCTGAGGGTATCAAGGTACTACAGGAAAACCTAAGAGAAATGCTGTGAGGCATTGGCCTAGGCAAATACTTTTTGGATAAGACTCTCAAAGCACTGGTGCTAAAAACACAAACAGGCAGACAGGACTGAATCAAGCTAAGAAGAGTCTGCCTATCAAAGGAAGCTGTGCATCTAATTTATCTTCTATTCTATTAACTCATTTTCAGAGGGTATAAAGAGCTCAGGAAACTTAACAACAACAAAGCAAACAATCTCAGGAAGAAACAGGTACAGGAAAGAACAGGTATTATTCAAAGGACGAAATACAAATGGTCAACAGACACATGAAAACATGCTCAGGGAAAAGCAAATAAACAACATAATGAGGTATCACTTCTCTCCAGTAAGAACAGCTGTTAGCCAAAATCAAAGAATAACAAAAGCTGCTGAAGTGGTGTAGCCAAATTCAGTAGTGGTAGGAACACAAATCGGTATAGCCGTTAAGGAAAACAACACAGAGATTCTGTAGAAAACGAAAAATGGATCTACCATGTGACCCAGTTCTCCAACACTCGGGAATGCATCCAAAGAAAGCGAAACAGCATATGAGACTGGTACCTGCATTCTCATGTTAAGAGTAGCACAAGTCACAGTAGTAAAGGGATGAAGTCAGCCTTTGAGCTCCATCAACTAATGACTGCACAATGTTACATGCTGAACTATCACTCAGCCATAAACTATGAATTACTGATATTTGGAGCAAAACATGGAACTGGAGATCATTATTCTAAGTGAAGTAAGCCACCCAGAAACACAAATACTACGTTTTCATTTATTTGTAAAAGTAAATTTATAGAGAGCACAAAGTTGTGTGGCTATCATATGATCTGATATATATAATTAGAAGTATTGTGACACTGAGTTATTGTATTACACAACAATATATTCCTCTGCTTCACAAAATGATCAATGAATACCTCATTAGGTAACATTATTATCCATTTTCAAAAAAAGAGTGCATACATGTATACCTGTAATATATACATAAGATGTGACTGTGGCAAAATGTAAAAGAACCTGTTGAATCTTAAAGCTAAAAAAAATGTATAAAAACATTCAAAAGGCTGAAGAAACACACACCACTTTTATGTCTTAATGTCATTGAAACCTTGCATGGACAAGTACCTCAGAATCCCACGGTGATTCTACAGCTTCATCACTTATTCCGGAGATAGGCACTGCAACTACAAAATGTAGTAAGCGATCGACTAAGAAGAATATTTATGAAATGTACAGACACACGCAATTCATCTCTCTCTCCACTCATAAGTAACTGGAGAAGCCAAAGGTAATACTGAGAAGGTGCTTTAGAGGACTGAGCAGTTTTAGGGAAAATGTCAGAAATATTAAAGCAAAACAAAACAAAACTCCCAAAACAAAGGTAAAATAAAATGGATGTAGGATTTCATTTAACACAACGTTGATGTTTCATTTAGCAGTAACGTTGAAAAAGAAGAACATACATACACTCAAGGACCGCTTCTACTACCTCAGGGGATCAGTCTCTACTAACTTGCATGCCTAGAAATTGGTTAAGTGGGGCAATACCTTCTTCCCTCTTTAGAGGTTCTGCAGAGGATTCCTCCTATAGAAAACAAGGAACCACAAATTTAGCACACATACACATTCAATTACTCAACTACTCACTAAGACAAACATTTACTGTGTCTATCAAAACATAGGCACCACCTAACGAAGACAGGCATGTACACAGAGGCGCATTCTACTCTAGGCTTCCATTGGGGTATATATACATATAGAGGAAAACAATGAAAAGGAAATTAAGATTCACTGATTCTACTACTGACATGATAAATGAAGAGGTTACAGAAGAAGCTGGAATTACAGAAGCTTCAGTTCAGCCGTGACAGTTTACAAAACAGGACAAGGCCACAGCCGTATATTTAAAGTACACAAAGTACAGGGGGATTGTGTGTAGGGTCTTCTGAGAGAGGCTGCAGGAACAGAATGATGAGACAGAAAACAACACGACAAATGAGGGTAAGAAAGTAAGAAGGTAACATTACAACACATTGCTTGGGACTGGGATAGAGTTACTGTAGAGAATCAGGGTCAAGCTGCAACTGGCATGTGGTATGCTACAATCTGAACACTTTTCTGTACAAGACTCCATAGAATCATGGCTCAATACTCTAGTCATGAATATAATTTAGAAAGGCCAATCTGGCAGGATGTTCAGATGCATGCAATGCATTCTCTGAAGCATTTCTCAGATTTGAGAGCCTCCGGAGTCTTAGAAGTCATATCTAGAAGAAGACTTGCGGTACAGGAGCAAAAAAAAAAAAAAAAAAAAAAAAACACTCTAGGAAATGATGGCTGGTCTAAAAGATAAATGAATACAATAAGCTAAAATTGTATAAGCAAATTTTTGTAATCATAGACTAAATCCTGATATTTTGGAAGTGAAAAAAAGGGGCAAACTATCATGAGTTTCTCATGGAAAATGACAATTATCAATGATTTTATCAGGGATCTAAACTGTAACTCTTTTTCTATGTAGTTCTGTCATGTTGCTGTAACATGCAGTCGTAAATTTCAGAAAAGACTTATGTCAATGCAATCTATTGGAGATACTGAAATAGGAGATGGTAAAACATACATCTAAACATTTTCAAGGTCCAGAAGTGCCAAGGAGATGCCAGAGTAATGAAGAATCCTTTTCTGTACCACGATGATTTCAGATAGATATCCAAAACCATTCAGCATTAAGTTCAATCTGGTTTCCTTGTTTTTTTAGTTAATTACATTTTTGAGCCTTCAAAACTAAAAGTACATAATAAGAAAAGGGGAGAGGGGTTATAGATCCACAGACATAGACCTAGACCTAGCCATAGAAATAGTCATAGACATAGACATATAGACACAGATATAGATACAGACATCAACAGAAGTATAAACATAGACGACAGAATCAGAGGGAGAGCGAAAGTGAGAGATCAGACAGAATCCTAGAGAGGGTTTCATTATTCATATTTCTGCAAAGTCCAGTCTAGCATTTTGTAAAATCAGGAGCTGGGGACTCAATTTCTCCCAATGGGTAGCAAAGAATGAATTATTAATCCATGGAAGCCTGACAGGGTGCCTCCTGGCTGAAAGTTAGAATCAGGCACAGGAAAAGGACAGAAGCCATCCGAGGTGTGAGGTAGATAGCTCATCTGACTTCTTCACCACTGGGCCAAGAGTTTAGCTCCTAATTCTTTTTCCTAGGTTGTAAAGGCAAGAGAGTTGGCTGAAGCGAATGTCAAGACAGCCTCAAAACCTCTCCCTTACGTAGCTTCAGATAAGTAAGGGGAAGCTTGTATTACATAGGTACTAGGTATCCCACTCTCTCCCAGATAAGAAATATCGTCAAGAATATATGAACAAACAACAAATCTAGCTCAGAAATCGACACAGCACCTCAACAGACCTGTCTCGAAATAAGAGATAGAAATGGCAATCAATATGACAGTATGTTCAACATCACCAACCACCAGGGAAATGCATATCAATGCCTCAAAGAGATATCACACCACCCCTTCTCAAGATAGCGAAAATGTTTATCTGCCTGTCTTATGTAAGTAGCTGTCTCTCAAGTAACTTTATACCTTCAAGCAAACACCAATTTTGTTTTAACATCACTGAAATCAGATATTTCCAACTCACAAGAAGACACACTACCTTCGAATTCCTTGGTGAGTTGTTGTCTTCAGGATCTCTTTGGGAGGTAGACTCCTTACCTACAAATGCAGTAACAGATCAACTAGTGAGAACATTTATTCACATGGAAACAATTTACATAAAGGCGTGTCTCTCTCTACTCATGAATATTGCAATGAAACGAATATTTCAATGAAATAAAAGGAATAGTAAGGATGAATTTCAGAGGGTTGAAGCTGTTTCAGGAAGAAGTTGGTTATATTAAAAAAAGCCAAAGAAAACCCTCAAAATAAATGGATATCCAATTTAGAGCTACTCATTTCTCTTCATTGTATTTTAATATTAAGTTTCGAAGGATAGGCACTCACTACCCATGTTACCATTGTCCAATCCACGATCATAGTTGAACGCATATTCATTAATTGGCTGTTGTGGAGCAACTTGAGTGATGGCGATATCTTTTAAGCCCTTCTTACTCGCTAAGGTTGACATTCCTTCCTACAGGAAGATAAAATACAAATTCAACAAATACACCCAAGTTCTCAACCCCTCAGCCACTCATTCAGGGAGACAGGATTTACTATGTGTGTCATGTCACAGGAACAGTCCTTGCAAAGGTTGAGCATATAAACAAAGAGCAGATTCTACCCCATACTCAGTTAAGCATATACACAAAGAGCAGATTCTACCCCCACGTTCTTTCAGTTGAGCATATAAACAAAGAGCAGATTCTACCCCATGTTCAGCTAGAGGTAGACATGGGAAAATACAACAGGAAAGTATAAACCACTATTTCTGCCACTGAAGTCAATACAATTGAAGAAAAGGCAGAAAAAGAGAATCCTCAATTCAGTCTTGCAAGGTCAGGAAATACTGCTTGATTTCTGGCCGAGAGTTAGAATTGGGTACAAAATAAGGACAGAAAGCCATCCGAGGTGTGAGGTAGATAGCTCATCTGACTTCTTCACCACTGGGCCAAGAGTTTAGCTCCTAATTCTTTTTCCTAGGTTCTAAAGACAAGAGAGTTGGCTGAAGCGAATGTCAAGACAGCCTCAAAACCTCTCCTTTACGTAGCTTCAGATAAGTAAGGGGAAGCTTGTATTACATAGGTACTAGGTATCCCACTCTCTCCCAGATAAGAAATATCGTCAAGAATATATGAACAAACACCAAATCTAGCTCAGAAATGGACACAGCACCTCAACAGACCTGTCTCGAAATAAGAGATAGAAATGGCAATCAATATGACAGTATGTTCAACATCACCATCCACCAGGGAAATGCATATCAGTGCCTCAAAGAGATATCACACCACCCCTTCTCAAGATAGCGAAAATGTTTATCTGCCTGTCTTATGTAAGTAGCTGTCTCTCAAGTAACTTTATACCTTCAAGCAAACACCAATTTTGTTTTAACATCACTGAAATCAGATATTTCCAACTCACAAGAAGACACACTACCTTCGAATTCCTTGGTGAGTTGTTGTCTTCAGGATCTCTTTGGGAGGTAGACTCCTTACCTACAAATGCAGTAACAGATTAACTAGTGAGAACATTTATTCACATGGAAACAATTTACATAAAGGCGTGTCTCTCTCCATTCATGAATATTGCAATGAAATGAATATTTCAATGAAATAAAAGGAATAGTAAGGATGAATTTCAGAGGGTTGAAGCTGTTTCAGGAAGAAGTTGGTTATATTAAAAAAAGCCAAAGAATACCCTCAAAATAAATGAATATCCAATTCAGAGCTACTCATTTCTCTTCATTGTATTTTATAATAAGTTTTGATAGATATGCACTCACTACGTTTGTTATCTTTGTCCAATCCGTGATCAGAGTTCATAATTGGCTGTTGTGGAGCAACTTGAGCGATGAAAAAACGTTTTTTACTCTTCTTACCCGCTACAGCTGACGTTCCTGCCTACAGAACAATAAAATACAAATTCAACACATATATCCAATTTCTCAACCCCTCAGCTACTCATTCAGTGAGACAGGATTTACTATGGGTATCAAGTCATAGGCCCAGTCCTTGAAAAATCTAAGCATATAAACAAAGAGCAGATTCTACCCCATGTTCAGTTAGAGGTAGACATGGGAAAATACAACAGGAAAGTATAAACCACTATTTCTGCCACTGAAGTCAATACAGTTGAAGAAAAGGCAGAAAAGAGAATCCTCAATTCAGTCTTGCAAGGTCAGGAAATACTGCTTGATTTCTGGCCGAGAGTTAGAATTGGGTACAAAATAAGGACAGAAAGCCATCCGAGGTGTGAGGTAGATAGCTCATCTGACTTCTTCACCACTGGGCCAAGAGTTTAGCTCCTAATTCTTCTTTCCTAGGTTCTAAAGGCAAGAGAGTTGGCTGAAGCGAATGTCAAGACAGCCTCAAAACCTCTCCTTTACGTAGCTTCAGATAAGTAAGGGGAAGCTTGTATTACATAGGTACTAGGTATCCCACTCTCTCCCAGATAAGAAATATCGTCAAGAATATATGAACAAACACCAAATCTAGCTCAGAAATCGACACAGCACCTCAACAGACCTGTCTCGAAATAAGAGATAGAAATGGCAATCAATATGACAGTATGTTCAACATCACCAACCACCAGGGAAATGCATATCAATGCCTCAAAGAGATATCACACCACCCCTCTCAAGATAGCGAAAATGTTTATCTGCCTGTCTTATGTAAGTAGCTGTCTCTCAAGTAACTTTATACCTTCAAGCAAACACCAATTTTGTTTTAACATCACTGAAATCAGATATTTCCAACTCACAAGAAGACACACTACCTTCGAATTCCTTGGTGAGTTGTTGTCTTCAGGATCTCTTTGGGAGGTAGACTCCTTACCTACAAATGCAGTAACAGATCAACTAGTGAGAACATTTATTCACATGGAAACAATTTACATAAAGGCGTGTCTCTCTCTACTCATGAATATTGCAATGAAACGAATATTTCAATGAAATAAAAGGAATAGTAAGGATGAATTTCAGAGGGTTGAAGCTGTTTCAGGAAGAAGTTGGTTATATTAAAAAAAGCCAAAGAAAACCCTCAAAATAAATGGATATCCAATTTAGAGCTACTCATTTCTCTTCATTGTATTTTAATATTAAGTTTCGAAGGATAGGCACTCACTACCCATGTTACCATTGTCCAATCCACGATCATAGTTGAACGCATATTCATTAATTGGCTGTTGTGGAGCAACTTGAGTGATGGCGATATCTTTTAAGCCCTTCTTACTCGCTAAGGTTGACATTCCTTCCTACAGGAAGATAAAATACAAATTCAACAAATACACCCAAGTTCTCAACCCCTCAGCCACTCATTCAGGGAGACAGGATTTACTATGTGTGTCATGTCACAGGAACAGTCCTTGCAAAGGTTGAGCATATAAACAAAGAGCAGATTCTACCCCATACTCAGTTAAGCATATACACAAAGAGCAGATTCTACCCCCACGTTCTTTCAGTTGAGCATATAAACAAAGAGCAGATTCTACCCCATGTTTAGCTAGAGGTAGACATGGGAAAATACAACAGGAAAGTATAAACCACTATTTCTGCCACTGAAGTCAATACAATTGAAGAAAAGGCAGAAAAAAGAATCCTCAATTCAGTCTTGCAAGGTCAGGAAATACTGCTTGATTTCTGGCCGAGAGTTAGAATTGGGTACAAAATAAGGACAGAAAGCCATCCGAGGTGTGAGGTAGATAGCTCATCTGACTTCTTCACCACTGGGCCAAGAGTTTAGCTCCTAATTCTTCTTTCCTAGGTTCTAAAGGACAAGAGAGTTGGCTGAAGCGAATGTCAAGACAGCCTCAAAACCTCTCCTTTACGTAGCTTCAGATAAGTAAGGGGAAGCTTGTATTACATAGGTACTAGGTATCCCACTCTCTCCCAGATAAGAAATATCGTCAAGAATATATGAACAAACACCAAATCTAGCTCAGAAATGGACACAGCACCTCAACAGACCTGTCTCGAAATAAGAGATAGAAATGGCAATCAATATGACAGTATGTTCAACATCACCAACCACCAGGGAAATGCATATCAGTGCCTCAAAGAGATATCACACCACCCCTTCTCAAGATAGTGAAAATGTTTATCTGCCTGTCTTATGTAAGTAGCTGTCTCTCAAGTAACTTTATACCTTCAAGCAAACACCAATTTTGTTTTAACATCACTGAAATCAGATATTTCCAACTCACAAGAAGACACACTACCTTCGAATTCCTTGGTGAGTTGTTGTCTTCAGGATCTCTTTGGGAGGTAGACTCCTTACCTACAAATGCAGTAACAGATTAACTAGTGAGAACATTTATTCACATGGAAACAATTTACATAAAGGCATGTCTCTCTCCATTCATGAATATTGCAATGAAATGAATATTTCAATGAAATAAAAGGAATAGTAAGGATGAATTTCAGAGGGTTGAAGCTGTTTCAGGAAGAAGTTGGTTATATTAAAAAAAGCCAAAGAATACCCTCAAAATAAATGAATATCCAATTCAGAGCTACTCATTTCTCTTCATTGTATTTTACAATAGTAGTTTGATAGATATGCACTCACTACGTTTGTTATCTTTGTCCAATCCGTGATCAGAGTTCATAATTGGCTGTTGTGGAGCAACTTGAGCGATGAAAAAACGTTTTTTACTCTTCTTACCCGCTACAGCTGACGTTCCTGCCTACAGAACAATAAAATACAAATTCAACACATATATCCAATTTCTCAACCCCTCAGCTACTCATTCAGTGAGACAGGATTTACTATGGGTATCAATGTCATAGGACCAGTCCTTGAAAAATCTAAGCATATAAACAAAGAGCAGATTCTACCGCATGTTCAGTTAGAGGTAGACATGGGAAAATACAACAGGAAAGTATAAACCACTATTTCTGCCACTGAAGTCAATACAGTTGAAGAAAAGGCAGAAAAGAGAATCCTCAATTCAGTCTTGCAAGGTCAGGAAATACTGCTTGAATTTCTGGCCGAGAGTTAGAATTGGGTACAAAATAAGGACAGAAAGCCATCCGAGGTGTGAGGTAGATAGCTCATCTGACTTCTTCACCACTGGGCCAAGAGTTTAGCTCCTAATTCTTCTTTCCTAGGTTCTAAAGGCAAGAGAGTTGGCTGAAGCGAATGTCAAGACAGCCTCAAAACCTCTCCTTTACGTAGCTTCAGATAAGTAAGGGGAAGCTTGTATTACATAGGTACTAGGTATCCCACTCTCTCCCAGATAAGAAATATCGTCAAGAATATATGAACAAACACCAAATCTAGCTCAGAAATCGACACAGCACCTCAACAGACCTGTCTCGAAATAAGAGATAGAAATGGCAATCAATATGACAGTATGTTCAACATCACCAACCACCAGGGAAATGCATATCAATGCCTCAAAGAGATATCACACCACCCCTTCTCAAGATAGCGAAAATGTTTATCTGCCTGTCTTATGTAAGTAGCTGTCTCTCAAGTAACTTTATACCTTCAAGCAAACACCAATTTTGTTTTAACATCACTGAAATCAGATATTTCCAACTCACAAGAAGACACACTACCTTCGAATTCCTTGGTGAGTTGTTGTCTTCAGGATCTCTTTGGGAGGTAGACTCCTTACCTACAAATGCAGTAACAGATCAACTAGTGAGAACATTTATTCACATGGAAACAATTTACATAAAGGCGTGTCTCTCTCTACTCATGAATATTGCAATGAAACGAATATTTCAATGAAATAAAAGGAATAGTAAGGATGAATTTCAGAGGGTTGAAGCTGTTTCAGGAAGAAGTTGGTTATATTAAAAAAAGCCAAAGAAAACCCTCAAAATAAATGGATATCCAATTTAGAGCTACTCATTTCTCTTCATTGTATTTTAATATTAAGTTTCGAAGGATAGGCACTCACTACCCATGTTACCATTGTCCAATCCACGATCATAGTTGAACGCATATTCATTAATTGGCTGTTGTGGAGCAACTTGAGTGATGGCGATATCTTTTAAGCCCTTCTTACTCGCTAAGGTTGACATTCCTTCCTACAGGAAGATAAAATACAAATTCAACAAATACACCCAAGTTCTCAACCCCTCAGCCACTCATTCAGGGAGACAGGATTTACTATGTGTGTCATGTCACAGGAACAGTCCTTGCAAAGGTTGAGCATATAAACAAAGAGCAGATTCTACCCCATACTCAGTTAAGCATATACACAAAGAGCAGATTCTACCCCCACGTTCTTTCAGTTGAGCATATAAACAAAGAGCAGATTCTACCCCATGTTTAGCTAGAGGTAGACATGGGAAAATACAACAGGAAAGTATAAACCACTATTTCTGCCACTGAAGTCAATACAATTGAAGAAAAGGCAGAAAAAAGAATCCTCAATTCAGTCTTGCAAGGTCAGGAAATACTGCTTGATTTCTGGCCGAGAGTTAGAATTGGGTACAAAATAAGGACAGAAAGCCATCCGAGGTGTGAGGTAGATAGCTCATCTGACTTCTTCACCACTGGGCCAAGAGTTTAGCTCCTAATTCTTCTTTCCTAGGTTCTAAAGGCAAGAGAGTTGGCTGAAGCAAATGTCAAGACAGCCTCAAAACCTCTCCTTTACGTAGCTTCAGATAAGTAAGGGGAAGCTTGTATTACATAGGTACTAGGTATCCCACTCTCTCCCAGATAAGAAATATCGTCAAGAATATATGAACAAACAACAAATCTAGCTCAGAAATGGACACAGCACCTCAACAGACCTGTCTCGAAATAAGAGATAGAAATGGCAATCAATATGACAGTATGTTCAACATCACCATCCACCAGGGAAATGCATATCAATGCCTCAAAGGGATATCACACCACCCCTTCTCAAGATAGCGAAAATGTTTATCTGCCTGTCTTATGTAAGTAGCTGTCTCTCAAGTAACTTTATACCTTCAAGCAAACACCAATTTTGTTTTAACATCACTGAAATCAGATATTTCCAACTCACAAGAAGACACACTACCTTCGAATTCCTTGGTGAGTTGTTGTCTTCAGGATCTCTTTGGGAGGTAGACTCCTTACCTACAAATGCAGTAACAGATTAACTAGTGAGAACATTTATTCACATGGAAACAATTTACATAAAGGCGTGTCTCTCTCCATTCATGAATATTGCAATGAAATGAATATTTCAATGAAATAAAAGGAATAGTAAGGATGAATTTCAGAGGGTTGAAGCTGTTTCAGGAAGAAGTTGGTTATATTAAAAAAAGCCAAAGAATACCCTCAAAATAAATGAATATCCAATTCAGAGCTACTCATTTCTCTTCATTGTATTTTTATAATAAGTTTTGATAGATATGCACTCACTACGTTTGTTATCTTTGTCCAATCCGTGATCAGAGTTCATAATTGGCTGTTGTGGAGCAACTTGAGCGATGAAAAAAACGTTTTTTACTCTTCTTACCCGCTACAGCTGACGTTCCTGCCTACAGAACAATAAAATACAAATTCAACACATATATCCAATTTCTCAACCCCTCAGCTACTCATTCAGTGAGACAGGATTTACTATGGGTATCAAGTCATAGGCCCAGTCCTTGAAAAATCTAAGCATATACACAAAGAGCAGATTCTACCCCATGTTCAGTTAGAGGTAGACATGGGAAAATAGAACAGGAACGCATAAACCACTATTTCTGCCACTGAAGTCAATATAGTTGAAGAAAAGGCAGAAAAGAGAATCCTCAATTCAGTCTTGAAGGTCAGGTAATATTGCTTAATTTCTGGCCGAGAGTCAGATTGGGTACAAATAAGGACAGAAAGCCATCCGAGGTGTGAGGTAGATAGCTCATCTGACTTCTTCACCACTGGGCCAAGAATTTAGCTCCTAATTCTTTTTTCCTAGGTCCTAAAGGCAGGAGAGTTGGCTGAAGCGAATGTCAAGATAGCCTCAAAACCTCTCCTTTACGTAGCTTCAGATAAGTAAGGGGAAGCTTGTATTACATAGGTACTAGGTATCCCACTCTTTCCCAGATAAGAAATATCGTCAAGAGTATATGAACAAACACCAAATCTAGCTCAGAAATCGACACAGCACCTCAACAGACCTGTCTCGAAATAAGAGATAGAAATGGCAATCAATATGACAGTATGTTCAACATCACCAACCACCAGGGAAATGCATATCAATGCCTCAAAGAGATATCACACCACCCCTCCTCAAGATAGCGAAAATGTTTATCTGCCTGTTTTATGTAAGTAGCTGTCTCTCAAGTAACTTTATACCTTCAAGCAAACACCAATTTTGTTTTAACATCACTGAAATCAGATATTTCCAACTCACAAGAAGACACACTACCTTCGAATTCCTTGGTGAGTTGTTGTCTTCAGGATCTCTTTGGGAGGTAGACTCCTTACCTACAAATGCAGTAACAGATCAACTAGTGAGAACATTTATTCACATGGAAACAATTTACATAAAGGCGTGTCTCTCTCTACTCATGACTATTGCAATGAAATGAATATTTCAATGAAATAAAAGGAATAGTAAGGATGAATTTCAGAGGGTTGAAGCTGTTTCAGGAAGAAGTTGGTTATATTAAAAAAAGCCAAAGAAAACCCTCAAAATAAATGGATATCCAATTTAGAGCTACTCATTTCTCTTCATTGTATTTTAATATTAAGTTTCGAAGGATAGGCACTCACTACCCATGTTACCATTGTCCAATCCACGATCATAGTTGAACGCATATTCATTAATTGGCTGTTGTGGAGCAACTTGAGTGATGGCGATATCTTTTAAGCCCTTCTTACTCGCTAAGGTTGACATTCCTTCCTACAGGAAGATAAAATACAAATTCAACAAATACACCCAAGTTCTCAACCCCTCAGCCACTCATTCAGGGAGACAGGATTTACTATGTGTGTCATGTCACAGGAACAGTCCTTGCAAAGGTTGAGCATATAAACAAAGAGCAGATTCTACCCCATACTCAGTTAAGCATATACACAAAGAGCAGATTCTACCCCCACGTTCTTTCAGTTGAGCATATAAACAAAGAGCAGATTCTACCCCATGTTTAGCTAGAGGTAGACATGGGAAAATACAACAGGAAAGTATAAACCACTATTTCTGCCACTGAAGTCAATACAATTGAAGAAAAGGCAGAAAAAAGAATCCTCAATTCAGTCTTGCAAGGTCAGGAAATACTGCTTGATTTCTGGCCGAGAGTTAGAATTGGGTACAAAATAAGGACAGAAAGCCATCCGAGGTGTGAGGTAGATAGCTCATCTGACTTCTTCACCACTGGGCCAAGAGTTTAGCCCCTAATTCTTCTTTCCTAGGTTCTAAAGACAAGAGAGTTGGCTGAAGCGAATGTCAAGACAGCCTCAAAACCTCTCCTTTACGTAGCTTCAGATAAGTAAGGGGAAGCTTGTATTACATAGGTACTAGGTATCCCACTCTCTCCCAGATAAGAAATATCGTCAAGAATATATGAACAAACACCAAATCTAGCTCAGAAATGGACACAGCACCTCAACAGACCTGTCTCGAAATAAGAGATAGAAATGGCAATCAATATGACAGTATGTTCAACATCACCAACCACCAGGGAAATGCATATCAGTGCCTCAAAGAGATATCACACCACCCCTTCTCAAGATAGTGAAAATGTTTATCTGCCTGTCTTATGTAAGTAGCTGTCTCTCAAGTAACTTTATACCTTCAAGCAAACACCAATTTTGTTTTAACATCACTGAAATCAGATATTTCCAACTCACAAGAAGACACACTACCTTCGAATTCCTTGGTGAGTTGTTGTCTTCAGGATCTCTTTGGGAGGTAGACTCCTTACCTACAAATGCAGTAACAGATTAACTAGTGAGAACATTTATTCACATGGAAACAATTTACATAAAGGCGTGTCTCTCTCCATTCATGAATATTGCAATGAAATGAATATTTCAATGAAATAAAAGGAATAGTAAGGATGAATTTCAGAGGGTTGAAGCTGTTTCAGGAAGAAGTTGGTTATATTAAAAAAAGCCAAAGAATACCCTCAAAATAAATGAATATCCAATTCAGAGCTACTCATTTCTCTTCATTGTATTTTTACAATAAGTTTTGATAGATATGCACTCACTACGTTGTTATCTTTGTCCAATCCGTGATCAGAGTTCATAATTGGCTGTTGTGGAGCAACTTGAGCGATGAAAAAACGTTTTTTACTCTTCTTACCCGCTACAGCTGACGTTCCTGCCTACAGAACAATAAAATACAAATTCAACACATATATCCAATTTCTCAACCCCTCAGCTACTCATTCAGTGAGACAGGATTTACTATGGGTATCAAGTCATAGGCCCAGTCCTTGAAAAATCTAAGCATATAAACAAAGAGCAGATTCTACCCCATGTTCAGTTAGAGGTAGACATGGGAAAATACAACAGGAAAGTATAAACCACTATTTCTGCCACTGAAGTCAATACAGTTGAAGAAAAGGCAGAAAAGAGAATCCTCAATTCAGTCTTGCAAGGTCAGGAAATACTGCTTGATTTCTGGCCGAGAGTTAGAATTGGGTACAAAATAAGGACAGAAAGCCATCCGAGGTGTGAGGTAGATAGCTCATCTGACTTCTTCACCACTGGGCCAAGAGTTTAGCTCCTAATTCTTCTTTCCTAGGTTCTAAAGGCAAGAGAGTTGGCTGAAGCGAATGTCAAGACAGCCTCAAAACCTCTCCTTTACGTAGCTTCAGATAAGTAAGGGGAAGCTTGTATTACATAGGTACTAGGTATCCCACTCTCTCCCAGATAAGAAATATCGTCAAGAATATATGAACAAACACCAAATCTAGCTCAGAAATCGACACAGCACCTCAACAGACCTGTCTCGAAATAAGAGATAGAAATGGCAATCAATATGACAGTATGTTCAACATCACCAACCACCAGGGAAATGCATATCAATGCCTCAAAGAGATATCACACCACCCCTCCTCAAGATAGCGAAAATGTTTATCTGCCTGTTTTATGTAAGTAGCTGTCTCTCAAGTAACTTTATACCTTCAAGCAAACACCAATTTTGTTTTAACATCACTGAAATCAGATATTTCCAACTCACAAGAAGACACACTACCTTCGAATTCCTTGGTGAGTTGTTGTCTTCAGGATCTCTTTGGGAGGTAGACTCCTTACCTACAAATGCAGTAACAGATCAACTAGTGAGAACATTTATTCACATGGAAACATTTTACATAAAGGCGTGTCTCTCTCTACTCATGACTATTGCAATGAAATGAATATTTCAATGAAATAAAAGGAATAGTAAGGATGAATTTCAGAGGGTTGAAGCTGTTTCAGGAAGAAGTTGGTTATATTAAAAAAAAGCCAAAGAAAACCCTCAAAATAAATGGCTATCCAATTCAGAGCTACTCATTTCTGTTCATTGTATTTTAATATTAAGTTTCAAAGGATAGGCACTCACTACCCATGTTACCATTGTCCAATCCACGATCATAGTTGAACGCATATTTATTCACTGGCTGGTGTGGAGCAACTTGAGTGATGGCGATATCTTTTAAGCCCTTCTTACTCGCTACGGTTGACATTCCTTCCTACAGGAAGATAAAATACAAATTCAACAAATACACCCAAGTTCTCAACCCCTCAGCCACTCATTCAGGGAGACAGGATTTACTATGTGTGTCATGTCACAGGAACAGTCCTTGCAAAGGTTGAGCATATAAACAAAGAGCAGATTCTACCCCATACTCAGTTAAGCATATACACAAAGAGCAGATTCTACCCCCACGTTCTTTCAGTTGAGCATATAAACAAAGAGCAGATTCTACCCCATGTTTAGCTAGAGGTAGACATGGGAAAATACAACAGGAAAGTATAAACCACTATTTCTGCCACTGAAGTCAATACAATTGAAGAAAAGGCAGAAAAAAGAATCCTCAATTCAGTCTTGCAAGGTCAGGAAATACTGCTTGATTTCTGGCCGAGAGTTAGAATTGGGTACAAAATAAGGACAGAAAGCCATCCGAGGTGTGAGGTAGATAGCTCATCTGACTTCTTCACCACTGGGCCAAGAGTTTAGCCCCTAATTCTTCTTTCCTAGGTTCTAAAGACAAGAGAGTTGGCTGAAGCGAATGTCAAGACAGCCTCAAAACCTCTCCTTTACGTAGCTTCAGATAAGTAAGGGGAAGCTTGTATTACATAGGTACTAGGTATCCCACTCTCTCCCAGATAAGAAATATCGTCAAGAATATATGAACAAACACCAAATCTAGCTCAGAAATGGACACAGCACCTCAACAGACCTGTCTCGAAATAAGAGATAGAAATGGCAATCAATATGACAGTATGTTCAACATCACCAACCACCAGGGAAATGCATATCAGTGCCTCAAAGAGATATCACACCACCCCTTCTCAAGATAGTGAAAATGTTTATCTGCCTGTCTTATGTAAGTAGCTGTCTCTCAAGTAACTTTATACCTTCAAGCAAACACCAATTTTGTTTTAACATCACTGAAATCAGATATTTCCAACTCACAAGAAGACACACTACCTTCGAATTCCTTGGTGAGTTGTTGTCTTCAGGATCTCTTTGGGAGGTAGACTCCTTACCTACAAATGCAGTAACAGATTAACTAGTGAGAACATTTATTCACATGGAAACAATTTACATAAAGGCGTGTCTCTCTCCATTCATGAATATTGCAATGAAATGAATATTTCAATGAAATAAAAGGAATAGTAAGGATGAATTTCAGAGGGTTGAAGCTGTTTCAGGAAGAAGTTGGTTATATTAAAAAAAGCCAAAGAATACCCTCAAAATAAATGAATATCCAATTCAGAGCTACTCATTTCTCTTCATTGTATTTTTACAATAAGTTTTGATAGATATGCACTCACTACGTTTGTTATCTTTGTCCAATCCGTGATCAGAGTTCATAATTGGCTGTTGTGGAGCAACTTGAGCGATGAAAAAAACGTTTTTTACTCTTCTTACCCGCTACAGCTGACGTTCCTGCCTACAGAACAATAAAATACAAATTCAACACATATATCCAATTTCTCAACCCCTCAGCTACTCATTCAGTGAGACAGGATTTACTATGGGTATCAAGTCATAGGCCCAGTCCTTGAAAAATCTAAGCATATAAACAAAGAGCAGATTCTACCGCATGTTCAGTTAGAGGTAGACATGGGAAAATACAACAGGAAAGTATAAACCACTATTTCTGCCACTGAAGTCAATACAGTTGAAGAAAAGGCAGAAAAGAGAATCCTCAATTCAGTCTTGCAAGGTCAGGAAATACTGCTTAATTTCTGGCCGAGAGTTAGAATTGGGTACAAAATAAGGACAGAAAGCCATCCGAGGTGTGAGGTAGATAGCTCATCTGACTTCTTCACCACTGGGCCAAGAGTTTAGCTCCTAATTCTTCTTTCCTAGGTTCTAAAGGCAAGAGAGTTGGCTGAAGCGAATGTCAAGACAGCCTCAAAACCTCTCCTTTACGTAGCTTCAGATAAGTAAGGGGAAGCTTGTATTACATAGGTACTAGGTATCCCACTCTCTCCCAGATAAGAAATATCGTCAAGAATATATGAACAAACACCAAATCTAGCTCAGAAATCGACACAGCACCTCAACAGACCTGTCTCGAAATAAGAGATAGAAATGGCAATCAATATGACAGTATGTTCAACATCACCAACCACCAGGGAAATGCATATCAATGCCTCAAAGAGATATCACACCACCCCTTCTCAAGATAGCGAAAATGTTTATCTGCCTGTCTTATGTAAGTAGCTGTCTCTCAAGTAACTTTATACCTTCAAGCAAACACCAATTTGTTTTAACATCACTGAAATCAGATATTTCCAACTCACAAGAAGACACACTACCTTCGAATTCCTTGGTGAGTTGTTGTCTTCAGGATCTCTTTGGGAGGTAGACTCCTTACCTACAAATGCAGTAACAGATCAACTAGTGAGAACATTTATTCACATGGAAACAATTTACATAAAGGCGTGTCTCTCTCTACTCATGAATATTGCAATGAAACGAATATTTCAATGAAATAAAAGGAATAGTAAGGATGAATTTCAGAGGGTTGAAGCTGTTTCAGGAAGAAGTTGGTTATATTAAAAAAAGCCAAAGAAAACCCTCAAAATAAATGGATATCCAATTTAGAGCTACTCATTTCTCTTCATTGTATTTTAATATTAAGTTTCGAAGGATAGGCACTCACTACCCATGTTACCATTGTCCAATCCACGATCATAGTTGAACGCATATTCATTAATTGGCTGTTGTGGAGCAACTTGAGTGATGGCGATATCTTTTAAGCCCTTCTTACTCGCTAAGGTTGACATTCCTTCCTACAGGAAGATAAAATACAAATTCAACAAATACACCCAAGTTCTCAACCCCTCAGCCACTCATTCAGGGAGACAGGATTTACTATGTGTGTCATGTCACAGGAACAGTCCTTGCAAAGGTTGAGCATATAAACAAAGAGCAGATTCTACCCCATACTCAGTTAAGCATATACACAAAGAGCAGATTCTACCCCCACGTTCTTTCAGTTGAGCATATAAACAAAGAGCAGATTCTACCCCATGTTTAGCTAGAGGTAGACATGGGAAAATACAACAGGAAAGTATAAACCACTATTTCTGCCACTGAAGTCAATACAATTGAAGAAAAGGCAGAAAAAAGAATCCTCAATTCAGTCTTGCAAGGTCAGGAAATACTGCTTGATTTCTGGCCGAGAGTTAGAATTGGGTACAAAATAAGGACAGAAAGCCATCCGAGGTGTGAGGTAGATAGCTCATCTGACTTCTTCACCACTGGCCAAGAGTTTAGCTCCTAATTCTTCTTTCCTAGGTTCTAAAGGCAAGAGAGTTGGCTGAAGCAAATGTCAAGACAGCCTCAAAACCTCTCCTTTACGTAGCTTCAGATAAGTAAGGGGAAGCTTGTATTACATAGGTACTAGGTATCCCACTCTCTCCCAGATAAGAAATATCGTCAAGAATATATGAACAAACAACAAATCTAGCTCAGAAATGGACACAGCACCTCAACAGACCTGTCTCGAAATAAGAGATAGAAATGGCAATCAATATGACAGTATGTTCAACATCACCATCCACCAGGGAAATGCATATCAATGCCTCAAAGGGATATCACACCACCCCTTCTCAAGATAGCGAAATGTTTATCTGCCTGTCTTATGTAAGTAGCTGTCTCTCAAGTAACTTTATACCTTCAAGCAAACACCAATTTTGTTTTAACATCACTGAAATCAGATATTTCCAACTCACAAGAAGACACACTACCTTCGAATTCCTTGGTGAGTTGTTGTCTTCAGGATCTCTTTGGGAGGTAGACTCCTTACCTACAAATGCAGTAACAGATTAACTAGTGAGAACATTTATTCACATGGAAACAATTTACATAAAGGCGTGTCTCTCTCCATTCATGAATATTGCAATGAAATGAATATTTCAATGAAATAAAAGGAATAGTAAGGATGAATTTCAGAGGGTTGAAGCTGTTTCAGGAAGAAGTTGGTTATATTAAAAAAAAGCCAAAGAATACCCTCAAAATAAATGAATATCCAATTCAGAGCTACTCATTTCTCTTCATTGTATTTTTACAATAAGTTTTGATAGATATGCACTCACTACGTTTGTTATCTTTGTCCAATCCGTGATCAGAGTTCATAATTGGCTGTTGTGGAGCAACTTGAGCGATGAAAAAACGTTTTTTACTCTTCTTACCCGCTACAGCTGACGTTCCTGCCTACAGAACAATAAAATACAAATTCAACACATATATCCAATTTCTCAACCCCTCAGCTACTCATTCAGTGAGACAGGATTTACTATGTGTGTCATGTCACAGGAACAGTCCTTGAAAAATCTAAGCATATAAACAAAGAGCAGATTCTACCCCATGTTCAGTTAGAGGTAGACATGGGAAAATACAACAGGAAAGTATAAACCACTATTTCTGCCACTGAAGTCAATATAGTTGAAGAAAAGGCAGAAAAGAGAATCCTCAATTCAGTCTTGCAAGGTCAGGAAATACTGCTTGATTTCTGGCCGAGAGTTAGAATTGGGTACAAAATAAGGACAGAAAGCCATCCGAGGTGTGAGGTAGATAGCTCATCTGACTTCTTCACCACTGGGCCAAGAGTTTAGCTCCTAATTCTTCTTTCCTAGGTTCTAAAGGCAAGAGAGTTGGCTGAAGCAAATGTCAAGACAGCCTCAAAACCTCTCCTTTACGTAGCTTCAGATAAGTAAGGGGAAGCTTGTATTACATAGGTACTAGGTATCCCACTCTCTCCCAGATAAGAAATATCGTCAAGAATATATGAACAAACAACAAATCTAGCTCAGAAATCGACACAGCACCTCAACAGACCGGTCTCGAAATAAGAGATAGAAATGGCAATCAATATGACAGTATGTTCAACATCACCAACCACCAGGGAAATGCATATCAATGCCTCAAAGAGATATCACACCACCCCTTCTCAAGATAGCGAAAATGTTTATCTGCCTGTCTTATGTAAGTAGCTGTCTCTCAAGCAACTTTATACCTTCAAGCAAACACCAATTTTGTTTTAACATCACTGAAATCAGGTATTTGCAAATCACAAGAAGACACACTACCTTCGAATTCCTTGGTGAGTTGTTGTCTTCAGGATCTCTTTGAGTGGTAGACTCCTTACCTACAAATGCAGTAACACATCAACTAGTGAGAACATTTATTCACATGGAAATAATTTACATAAAGGCGTGTCTCTCTCCACTCATGACTATTGCAATGAAATGAATATTTCAATGAAATAAAAGGAATAGTAAGGATGAATTTCAGAGGGTTGAAGCTGTTTCAGGAAGAAGTTGGTTATATTAAAAAAAGCCAAAGAATACCCTCAACATACATGGATACCCAATTCAGAGCTACTCATTTCTCTTCATTGTATTTTAATAGTAAGTTTTGATAGATATGCACTCACTACGTTTGTTATCTTTGTCCAATGCGTGATCAGAGTCCAGCCCATGTTTATTAATTGGCTGTTGTGGAGCAACTTGAGTGATGAAAAAACATTTTTTACTCTTCTTACCCGCTATAGTTGACGTTCCTTCCTACAGAACATAAAATACAAATTCAACACATATATCCAATTTCTCAACCCCTCAGCTACTCATTCAGTGAGACAGGATTTACTATGTGTATCAAGTCATAGGCCCAGTCCTTGAAAAATCTAAGCATATACACAAAGAGCAGATTCTACCCCATGTTCAGTTAGAGGTAGACATGGGAAAATAGAACAGAAAAGTATAAATCACTGTTTGCATCGTTGAAGTATATATAGTAGAAGAGTAGGCAGAGAAGTGTATCCTCGAGTTAATCTTGGAAGGTCAGCAAATATTGTTTATTTGGGGCTACATTTTGAAACGCAGATCAAATGAAATCAAAAGTAAGACATGAAGGCATTGTATACAGCACAGATGAGGCAAAATATTGTATAGCAATAAACAAGGCAAATTAGCAGCCCCAGATATGGAGCTACAATGAGAACGTCCTTCGTAGAATGGGGTTTAGTGATGTACGGCAGATTTAAGACCTAAGGACCAAACCAATGGTCATGCTGGAATGTGAATTCTCCCCTACTGGAATGGAAATCTACTCAATAAGCAGTTGAACTACATGATTACAAATATGTTTAAGGGATCACTCTGGCAGGAAATACACAATGTACGAAAATGTCTTCAGTTAGGCAATACGAGATTTGATGCACACAGAGAACTTAGAAACCACATTGTGTCCAAAGGAAAAAAAAAACTAACATTGAACACAAAACAAAAACTAGAGGGTGGGAGGTTATGGGGGATAGAGAAAATTTGAAATAGGGGTAAGAAACCAGAGTTACATTGAAGGAATGACTTCCTACTGCACTCACCTCCATCGCTGGGAAGAACCAGCACAGCAAAGGAAACGCCCGTGTCTAAGAGACTGACTGAAGGAAATCTTTGGTAAGGAAGTAAGGACAACTCTAAATGGCAATAGGCTCAGAGAGCCAGTACAGAGAGAGGCAAGAACAAAGTTGTGAGGGAATTATGTTTTACAATAACCTAACACACACTGCATGAGCAAACAGAAGAATCCTCAAACCTGCAATCATAAAGTAACACGAAGGAATGAAAAATCTTAGTCATCCTGTTTTGCTCAGTACACATAATATACATGTATTGAAATACCACACTGTGGCCCTTAAATGTGTCATATTTAGTCACTCAAGAATTTTGAAAAGAAATGGGAGTAGACAAATATATAGTCATATATATATAATGCACTGAAATACAATACTGTGACCCATAAATGTGTCATATTTAGTCACTAAAAATTTTTCAAAAGAAATGGGAATAGACAAAATCACTCAGAAAAAGCATATAATAAGAAAATACATATAAATAATATTTGTAAAACATTAAATAATATAAGCAAATAATGTAAACATAAACTGAATTCTGAAATTTGGAAAACGAAAATAAAAAGGCAGAACCTATGAGATTTAATTTTTCAATTACATATTTCTACATACGTTTGCAGCATACAAAATTTCATATTTCTACATTTGTTTCAAGAATTTAAAATAAAATTTTAATTTATAAATTGAAATATTACATACATTTCTTACTATAGTGAGAATATGTGCTTCTGGAGTTTATGGTAATAAGCATTTTTCAAATCTGTTAAAAATATAGTTCTGTGAAAAAATATAAGAGGCTACAGGAGGACTGTTTTTCAAAAGCCTTGATTGCTTTAAATGTCACAAAACAAGTCCTGAGAGTCAGTACTCTGATTAAGCAGGTTGAGCTGCCAGACTATTCCTTTTGTATTTTAAAAATTATCTCAGTTTCTCACAAAAAATAGGAGAACAGAAGGAAGCAGGAAGAAGAGAAAAGAAATAGAGTGGCACAGAGAAGTAGGCCTGCAGAGGTGCCATTTGCTAATTTCACTCTCCAAAAGCCTGTAAGGGCCAGGGGCTCAGCCACACCAATGCTAGGACCTGAGTACTCCAACCATTTTTTTTTCTCAGAACTTTTACTATGGGTTGAGTCAAATGGCAACGTAGTCAGGAAATTCTTTCCTTTGTGTAATGTTCAAACAACAGTAAGCAAATACATGTGTAAGGTACATATGCAACTCTTTTCCAACTAGGCAATATCTTCAAAGTTATAAAAATCTCTACAAAGAGATAAATAGGGAGTCATGTTTTAGCTCCTAAATGTGACATTCATTTCACATTATGTTTTCCACAAGTGACAATATAATATCACCATGATTATGGCTGTCTCATGGTGTGAGGCTGCTCATTTCTAATGCTTAGTATGATGAGGTCTGAGAGAGAGAAGAGAGGAAAAAAAAGCTGCATACAGAGGCCCTGCACTCACTCCACCGCTGGGAAGAACCAGCACAGCAAGGAAACACCCGGTGTCTAAGAGACTGACTGAAGGAAATCTGTGGTAAGGAAGTAAGGACAACTCTAAATGGCAATAGGCTCAGAGAGCCAGTACGAGAGAGGCAAGAACAAAGTATACTGTAGCTCCTACGCTGGTGTTATGGCCAGGGGGACTCTATCCTCGCTGAGGAAAGTAAGCAAGCCTCTAAGATTCCCACCATTATGGCAGAGCAGTGGCCCTAACTACAGAATTCACCCGTCCTCGGTTTCATTTACCTAGAAAGCTGACTGTGTCCTGAGGGCCTTCTTTGCCCTAAGAAAGACTCCATTTTGCCAGTGCCGCGGCCTCACTAGGCTAATGCTCTGCCTTGCGGCGCCGGCACCAACCGGGTTCTAGTCCCGGTCGGGGCGCCGGATTCTGTCCTGGTTGCCCCTGTTCCAGGCCAGCCCTCTGCTGTGGCCAGGGAGTGCAGTGGAGGATGGCCCAAGTCCTTGGGCCCTGCACCCATGGGGGACCAGGAAAGCACCTGGCTCCTGGCTCCTGCCATCGGATCAGCGCGGTGCGCCGGCCGCAGCACGCCGGCCGCGGCGGCCATTGGAGGGTGAACCAATGGCAAAGGAAGACCTTTCTCTCTGTCTCTCTCTCTCACTGTCCACTCTGCCTGTCAAAAAAAAAAAAAAAAAGAAGAAAAAGAAAGACTCCATTTTGCCTCTTTCCAATCCCCAGACCCAAGTGGTTGCAGCAACACTGTGGCTATCCCTTATTCTGTCTTGGGGACAGCAAGTACCCCTGATGCTACCAGCAGTCCCCAGATTCCACCTGCCACCTGCCCCTGCCCACAGCCAGAGCCAGGCTGCTTACAGGCAGACAGCAGGTCCCTGCCTATACGGCTGAATTGCTGGGCACAGCTTCAGGGCTCTGTCTTCTGCCTGTTTTTAAAAGACAGAAGAAACAAGCACTCCATTCTAGATTTGAACATCACTTAGTGCTTATATTTAAAATATCATAACAAGAGACAGTACCTCAGGGTCTGAAGTTGATTCTTTAGCTTCATCTTCTGCTCCTAAAGTAAACACCATTTCTATAAGAGGTAGTCATAGATCTGATAATAACATTATTATGAATTCTAAATACACATACACAGATGGGATCAGGCGCATTCAGGGTGTATGGCCATAGATTATCTTCCAGAGTGGCTATACTATTTTGCATATGGAAGAGCAATGAATGAGTATCCCTATTGCTCTATTTCCTTATCTGCACTCACTGTTGTCACTGTTTTGAAATCCCTAGCAGTTCATGATGTTCAGAATCACTTCTTCAGTTCACTTGCCATCTGTTTATCTTCCATAGGAAGGTGTTTGTTCCGCTATTTTTCCTATTTTAAGACCTGTTTGGTATTTTTTAAATTTAGCTTAAGAGTTCTCTAAACGGTTTGGATAATAGCTGTGTCTTTGTTGAAATATATCTTATACAAATATTCTTTCCAGGTTATTATTATACCCTTGGTGGTATATTGGAAGAACTAAAATTTTGTTTCTTATCACTATTCACTTTTCATGAACATCAATATACTTGCAGAAACTGAGAATAACTGGTCTTTACAACTTGTTCACCCTGAAGATGCTTATGCAAATCTCATCCGTGGCTGTCATACATTTTGTTACCTTAAGGGAATGAACACTGTCACTTACGGTAAGGTAGAAAGGTATATAACTTATCTTACACTGCCTGCTTTCAGTTTATAGACCAAGCTGTGTCATGCCAAAATGCAATCTTAATTCTTCAGCATAGAAATCACTTTAAAAGGCCTGTTGTTTCCAGCACCCTAAAATAATACCAAGAATCCCTAGAACCATCTGAAATAAAGTTCCATTTATCAATTTAAAAAATATGCTAATTTATATTTAATTTAACTCTGGATTTTCTAGTCATTAAATTGATCTGTTCTACTATTTCTATGCCATGCCATCATGTGGTTATCCCCATAGATTTACTCTATGATTCAGTCCTGAGAAAAGCAAATTTTCTTGTTGTGCTTTTCTTCCTCAAAATGTTCCAGTAAATGTACATACATTAAAGCCTCATTAGAGCAAATATAAATACACACACACACACACACACACACACATCTCCATGAGTAATTCAACAATATGTAAAAGTAACAGCAAGAAAGAATTCCAAAGGGTTGACGAAGTTTTAGGAAGAAGAATTTGGTCCTATGAAGAAAGATATTAAAAAAAAAAAACAATAAAATACATTGGGTAGCATATTTATGGCTTCACATTAAACTTCATACAATAACATTTAAATAGAAGGTTTTCATACACTGGATGGAACTGGAAATCACTATCCTAGAGAAATAAGCCAGTCACACAAAACCAAATCTCACATGTTTATATATGGAAGCTATAGAAAGTACAAAAAGTGCATGGATACCGTATTATTTGGTCTATAATCATATTGTCTTTAATGGATTTCATCAATACATCCTTCTTTCCTCACTGTTAGCATTGTGATGAATCCCACATTTTTCTTACATTAATATTACTGTTTTTGAGAAAAATGTATATAAGTGTACATATATAATATATCAAATGTTAAAAAATGTTCAATTTAAAATTTACAAAAGAAATTTTGATCCACTTACCACATTTGTTATCTTCATGGACTCCATGACACGAGTTATTCTGTCGTTATTGGGTTGCTCTTCTGGTGCACTGTGAATGATGGCAGTTGTATGTCCTGGAATTAGTCTTTCTATAGGAAAAAAAAACACAACCTCAGCAAGCAGGTTCACTCAGTTGTCCCACCACCCATTCACATCACTAAGACATTTATTCTGTAAATCAAAGCATAGGCACTGTCCTAGGAAAAGAAGAATATGTCCACGGAAGGCACTTACTGCAGTACGTTAAAGTGGGAGTAGACATAGAGTCAACAAAAACTCGGAGCAAGAAATTAATTCCATAATAGAGCATTTTACCTTGGCAAATGAATTGAGGCCTTTCTCATATGATATAAGCAGTTCATGATTAACATCAGGTATTTCCAAAAGCCTTGTGCACAAAAATATATAAGAAAAATAGTTAATATTTTCTATAAAAAATCAGGGGAAACATCAACTAAACTTCTGCTAAATGGTATTTTTTGGTACAATGAAAATTTGACTCTTGTTTTAGAAAAACTTTTCATCATCTATTTCTGCCTACACTACTCTCACCCCACTGAAATATTTGGTGAAGATAATACATCCCATAAAAAATCTGTGAACATCAATATACTAGCAGAAACTTTACAACTTGTTCACCCTGAAGATGCTTATGCAAATTTCATCCGTGGCTGCCATACATTTCATTACCTCAAGGCAATGAACACTGTCACCTATGTAAGCGAGAAAGGTATATAACTTATCTTACACTGCCTGCTTTCAGTTTATAGACCAGGCTGTGTCATGCCAAAATGCAATCTTAATTCTTCAGCACAGAAATCACTTTAAAAGGCCTGTTGTTTCCAGCACCTTAAAATAATACCAAGAATCCCTAGAACCATCTGAAATATTTGAAAGCTAAAGATATATACATCACAGAACAAATGTGTAGGTTGTTGTTGGAAATGCCCTTCTCAGAAATATTAAGATGTTCAGTGATTTTCCCAAATAAGTGTTGCTGTTTCCTCATTCAGGTAAACGTAAACCAGTAAGACTATAGGTGCTTATGTACTTAGAAGGGAGACGCTGCTGAGAAGAGTCATGGTACCTGTACTTTTGTTTCTGTTAATGGTATCTAATATCTTGCTCCTATGAGCTCCTAACCCCAAATAACTCTTCTGGTGTCAAGCACAGTGATGTGGTTTGGATAGAGTTCAGATATCAACAAAAGGCCCATGTATTTGTGGCTAGATTGCAAAGTCTTATTTAATGGATAAATGGTAATGGTCAATGGATTAAAAGTAGAAACAATGCAACTATGATGTCTAGGTGTTGGGCCTAAAGGAGGTCTTTAGGTCACCGGGGGCTTGTATTGTGAATGAAGTTCTCATGAGAGCAGTGAACTATACAACTGTTCTCTCTGCTGCTGGGTGCACCGTGTTATTCTCCCTTTGTATTCATTCCACCAACCACACATCCTCATCATGCTGCCACCTGTTCTTGGACTGTGAATCTCAAAACTTTATGCCAAAATAAATCCTATTCCTCTGTATGTTAGCCACAGATATTTTTTTCTGTAAGTAACAAAAAGCTTACAAACACATACAACGTCAAACATTAACGTATTAAACCTACAAAGCACAGAACCCTGAGAAAAGAGTGGACTCAAACATACAACTGTATTTTTTTATTTTCTTTTATTTTTTTTTATTTTTTGACAGGCAGAGTGGACAGTGAGAGAGAGAGACAGAGAGAAAGGTCTTCCTTTGCCATTGGTTCACCCTCCAATGGCCGCCGCGGCCGGCACGCTGCGGCCGGCGCACCGCGCTGATCCGATGGCAGGAGCCAGGTGCTTCTCCTGGTCTCCCATGGGGTGCAGGGCCCAAGCACTTGGGCCATCCTCCACGGCACTCCCTGGCCACAGCAGAGAGCTGGCCTGGAAGAGGGGCAACCGGGACAGAATCCGGCACCCCAACCGGGACTAGAACCCGGGGTGCCAGCGCCGCAAGGCGGAGGATTAGCCTAGTGAGCCGCAGCACCGGCCCAAACATACAATTGTAGGCACTACTTCCCTCTTCTAAAAAACAAGCTACATTGAGGCTCAGTCATCTTGCCACAGCAAGACACACGTAGCTCTGTAGGGTTTATCAGCTAATCCTATCCCCCTCTTACCAAATACATACCAGGGAGAGACATCAGAAAATGGAAAGAAGAGGTGGGCATGAGAGGACATCTGCCCTGGACCAAGTTCTTTGCAGATCATCCACCTCCAGGCCCCTAGTGCTCAAGGGAGACTAGATTACCTACCCCTCTGAGTGTGGGGGACCATGAAGTAGATGATATAGCATTACAGTCTTATCTGTATGGACTCTTCCCAGTGACTCTAAAAATCCACCTGTGGTGCAAGCATCCCGTTGGGCACTGGCTCATGTTGCAGCTACTCTTTCCAACTGTCTGCTTATGGCCTGGGAAAGCAACGGAAAATAGCCCAAGTCCTTGGGTCCCTGCACTCATGTGAGAGCCAGGAAGAAGCTCCTCATTCCTGGCTTTGGATTAGCTCAGCTCCAGCCATTTGCAGCTATTTGGGGATGAACCATGGATGGAAGATATATATATATTCATATACATATATATACACACACACATATATATATATATGGCAGGATTTCTTTATTGATTCATCAGTTGATGAGCATCTAGTTTGATTCCATATATTAGCCATTGTAAATTCAGAATTTATCTGAATTGGACCTGTATCTTGATGCCACTATTGTATAAGTCTGTATCCATCCATGCTAAAGGGTAAGAGAATCCATTTGGGAGTAAGGCAGGCTGATATGGGTCAGTTAATTATTTTACTACAGGTTCATAGGCCAATCAATCAACCCCTCAGCACATAGTTGCCTAAATAGTAGGAATAAACTACATTAACACATACATTGAAAACTGGTTGGACAATTATGACAAGCAACAAATGTTAAGTACACAATATCCATCCAGCCCAGAGGAGAATACATAATGCATTTCTTTGCTTTCCATTAGTTACAAATGGTTTTAAAAATCATTAAACCCTACCTTTTTCTATATTCTTTAGAATGCTCATCATCTATTAAAGAAAAGTAAATACATTTTAAATAAATCAATGATAGAATAATATAGAATGTTATAATATATAGTACATGTTAAAAATTACAGCTTTGGAGCCAGGTGTTTGACACAGAAGTTAGATGCTTCTTAGATGCTCACATCATACTGGAGTGCCTGGGTTTGGGTCTCAGCTTGCTTTCAAACTGAGCTCTCAGCGTACCCTGAGAGGCAGGAGGTTATGGCTTAAGCAATTGGGTCTTTGTGACCCATCTGAGTCCTGCTTTTGTCTGCCCAGCCCCAGATATTGCCGGAATTTAGGGAGAAATTATCAGAGAAGGAATAACACTCTCTACTGGCTATCTATAGCTCTGCATCTCTACATTTCACATAAACTGAAATAAAAATTAAAAGAAAAGATGCTTTTGATCATACTTACAAGTTATAGCAGAGTGATTATTAACTACATCATTGATAGCCATTATGGAACCTTACTTCTGCTACTTTGAATTTATCAATGTAAAGTGAATAATACAATTAATTAAGATGATATGGAAAACATATGCTCTATACAAAGACTGTAATCCAACTGAGAGACAATTGTATCACTAATAGAATAAGTATAAAAGATTGTAGGGTCCCAGTGCTATGTCACAGCAGATAAAGTCACGGCCTACAGTGCTGGCCTCCCTCATGGTTTCCAGCCAAGTCTTGGCTGCTCCACTTCCAATCCAGCTTCCTGTTAACGGGTCTAGGAAATCAGCAATAGATGTCCCAAGTTCTTGGCCATGTAACCATGTGTGAGTAGCTGAGTTTGATTACCAACTCCATGTTCTGACTTCAGTTTGCTGCCTGTGCAAACTCACAGAGGCAGTGAGGCTCAAGTAATCAAGCTCCTCCCAGCACGTGGAAGACCTAGATGGAGTTCCTGACTCCTGTCTATGGCTTCCATCCAACGAGGCCATTGTGAGCATTTGGAGGACAAATTGGTAGATGGCAGCTTTGTTCTGTAAGTCTCCATGCCTCTCAGACACAGACATACACACACACACACACACATATACAGATATGTATCTTTTTCTAAATTACACAAATGCCACAAAGAGATAAAGGGCCACAATTAGTGATTTTCTTCAAATAATAGTGCTTCAGATTATAAATATCCTACAATAAACCTCTAAAATTTCTAAATACTTGATTCCTAAGAAGATTAAGAAAAACACACATATAATTAATCATTGACTTATCTGTAACCTGCTCTTCTGTGATCAACTACTTCTTATGTTTATATTTTTTTCCTATGTTGGGACTAGCTGAGAAGTTTACCTGGATTTGTATTTACAATCTTCTCAAGTGCAGCATTTTCTCGAAACAACGAAATGAGTTGGTAATTTTGCCTATGTATAGAAGAATAAAATTGTTTCGGTATTGATAAGGACAACTATCAAATGTATCAATCCTTAGAATATTTCTGATAGTTCAAAGTTAGTACCAGAACTTACATTATGCCACGCACTTCATAATTATATGTTCTACAATATAATTTTCTAAACTTATTGTTAAGATGAAAAACAGTAAGGTGAAGAAGTCCTGATTAAAGGTGGTATAACTCAATAAATTAACTAAAATTAGCAGGACATAATAAGGTATCATAAACTCAGAAGACTCAGCTCTGTAGCCAACAGGTATGGGCAAGTCACTTGTTTTAACCTCAAACTCTTCTAAAGAGTAAGGATTTTCCTATGTCTTCACTAGTAGTTATAGAAATTTAATGATTTAATGCGTTAATATATAAAATATATAAATGTTCAATGAAATCAAGCAATGGAATACTTTGTTCTTGAAATTTACTACTGAAACTATTTTGGAATCCCAAAGAAAACCTGTAGTGTGTTTTTTCACTGTTCAGGCTACAGGAAATGTCATTAGTTTCTCATTCTGGCTATTAGTTACTCCATACAGCTGTAACCATAGATACCTCATCTACTTAACATATTGCAGCTACATGCATTTGTAAATATATCACTTCACTAAGTTAGGTAACATAATTGATGTGATCATTCACACTAAGGGTACAAAACTAAGAGCTGTCAAGTACTGGGGCAGACTATTACTATTCCTTTCAAGGATTCAAACTCTGCACCAGTTGATATTTGCTAGTATGATGCTTAACGTCCCTGTTCAACTCCACCTAACTTGGAAGATCAAACTGCACTTTATTACATGGTTTCTGAGAAGTTATGCATGGGGCTTAGCTCACTTAAATCCATATAACATACTTTAGATTCAGAGAATTCTCAAGAATGGCTTGTGTGAGGCAGAATTTAAAACTACTTTGAAAATCTGATATAAAATGCACATATTTTAGATTTCCATCTTCACTATTACAGCAAACAAATCACCTTAGGTCCAACACATACTCTGGAGCACAGAAACATACATGGGACATTCCACAAACCAAGAACATATGTGCCCGACTATAAAGAAAGCCCTTAGGGTACATATTGGTGCAAAACATTAAATAAACTCTCATCTTTTCCTACATTATCTGAATTTGTCTGACAACAGAATGGTACCAAGTAGAAACTACTAGCAAAGTCAAGAACCTTATAAAGAACACGTCATGAAGGTTAAGGCTAAGAAGTAGATGCCACCTGAGGTTCTCATAAATAGCCTATTTTTGGCTACATACATGCCAAAACCTAGGAAGCCAGAGTGGGGTGTTAATACTTTGTGGACAGTGACTGAGTATATAGGCATATGTCAGTCAACAAATAGACATTTTAATCTCAGGATATAAGTGCACATCACCACGAAGACTGGGGATCTGGATCAGTAAAAGAATCCTGGTAACAAAGGAAGCAATAAAAAATAAGAATTATTAGAACCCCATCTCTCTGATGAAGGAAGATTGCCTTGAGAACCTTATCTCTCTGATGAAGGAAGATTGCCTTGTCAGGCTTATGGAACTTCCTGGCTTCTTGTAAAACTCAAGAAAAAGAATTTAAGAGGCAGCTCCCAGGACAAAATATGAAATTTCCTGCTAATCTGGACACTGAAGGCCTAACCAACTAAGTAGAACTAGGAAGGTGTGACACTGTTTGGAGGGTCATGGCAGGGGTTGTATTTGAAATGATATGGATAATGTGGGCAGTCGCAGGGATAAAGACCTTCAAATCTCTGAGATAAAGAATTTGTACCCATCTGTACTTCTAACTAGCCGACCTTTCTCTTTGGTTTCTTTTTGTTTTAAAGATTTATTTTACTTGAAAGTCAGAGTTACACAGAGACAGGAGAAGCACTAGGAGGAGGTGGGAGGGGGGAGGGAGGAGGAGGAAGAGGGGGAGGGGGAGGGGGAGAGGGAGGAGGAGGAAGAGAGGGCTTCATCTGATAGTTCATCCCCAGTTGGCTGCAATGGCCAGAGCTGCACCGATTTGAAGCCAGGATCCAGGAGCTTCTTCTGGGATTCTCATGCGGGTGCAGGGGCCCAAGGACTTGGGCCATCTTCTACTGCTTTCCCAGGCCATAGCAGAGAACTGGATCGGAAGTGGAGCAGCCAGGAATCAAACTGGCGCCCATATGGGATGCCAACACTTCAGGTGGCAGCTTTACCCTCTACATCACAGCACCTGCCCCTCTGTTTAGTTTCTGACTGTTGAAGTAAAGGGACTCACTGCCATTCCAAAAACTGTGAGAGCTAAGTCATCTGAAAACATGAAGTACTTACACCTCAACTTCATGTTGATTACAATGTTAGTGTAAACACTTACATATTACGTTTTTGAAGAGCATAATCCCTAGCAGAATGTCCAGCAATGTCTTCAGAAAGCACATCAACCCCTAGTTCAAGAAGCATGTGTACTATGTTTTCCGTACTATACCGTCCCGCAAACATGAGGGATGTTCTAAAATAACAGAAAGAGAACTTCATTAAAAACTTCAATGAGGCTACTCAAACAGCTGAGTGGCTCTATTTTACCAAGTTAATATCTTGCCTATGTATATGTGATCATTTACTTGTATTAATGGACATAAGCATCTTGGAATATCAAATGCATCTCCAGAAATTATCTCCAGGCTTAAAGAGAAAGAAACAAAATAAAGCCTCTTGTCTAACTGGGGTATTCCATAGAAGTTACTAATTTGAAGTCTTTAAGGGATAGTAACACCATTGAGATCACTTGTTTAAACCAGGCAGTTTTAAGTGAAGAATTCACTCTTACTTCCCCAGTTTTAAATATTAAATATATCCCAGTCAGGTAAGTAAAAGCTATCTGAAAGCATAAAGCTCTTATATTATATGGCAATAATAGTCACAGCAGTTTCAGTTAGCAATGGTGACAACCACGTGTCAGCTACTGAATTACATTTTATATATGACATTATATACAACTACATCTGAAAGACAGGATACATTACTATCCCACTTTCACTTCAGGTTCGATTTAATAGTTAATGTTCCCAAGGTTGCACACCCAACAGGTTGGACATCTGAGAATTAAGCCTTGTGTTATATGTCTTTTCTCTTTCTCATTTATTATTTGTCATCATCAAAGGAAAAGCTTATCTAAGTAAATACATTTCTTCCCTCTTCCCATACTAATTACAAATAAAATTATAAGGATCAGGCATTTAATCTTGGTATTATGACACCAATTAAGAAGTCCCCTTCCCATATCAGACTACCTGGTTTGACTCCCAGATTCATTCTATGTGTAGCCTCCTACTAATACAGACCCCGGAAGACATTAGTTATATTCAGCTTAGATAATTAGATTCCTGCAACTACATGAAAGTCTTTATTGCATTCTTAGCTCCAAGTTTCAATCTGGCCCAGCCTGAACTGTTGCAGGCATTTGAGCAGTGAAACTGAAGTGAGAGAGTTCTAATTCTCTCTCTGTGTGTTTCTCTAATCTTCTCTCATAGAATTTTTTAAAAACCATGCTTTTAAAAATATCAAATATCAAAATAAAGCAGAATGAAAAAAACGATAAAATCATACTATCTGCTAATAACCACCTACAGTCGCTTAAGTATAACTTAACATCAATATACTTTGAAGAAAGAAATTAACAAAAAAAAAGTCAGCAAAAAGACAAAATGATTTTCAATTCCTATTTATGTATACTACAGCATTTTTAAAAGTAGAGTATGTGGGCGCTAGATTCTGTCCCGGTTGCCCCTCTTCCAGGCCAGCTCTCTACTGTGGCCCAGGAGTGCAGTGGAGGATGGCCCAAGTGCTTGGGCCCTGCACCCCATGGGAGACCAGGAGAAGCACCTGGCTCCTGGCTTTGGATCAGCGCCTTGCGCCTGTGGCCATTAGAGGGTGAACCAACGGCAAAGGAAGACCTTTCTCTCTGTCTCTCTCTCACTGTCCACTCTGCCTGTCAAAAAAAAAAAAAAGTAGAGTACGTAGGAAAAAAAGATTTCTTTAAGATTATTATTTATTTATTTGACAGAGTTGGACAGTGAGAAAGAGACAGAGAGAAAGGTCTTCCCTCCGTCGGTGGAAAAATTTTAAAAATATTACAGAATGTTTAAGAAGCTCAATAGTGACTCATATTTATTAAAACAGTAAAACTAAAATGAATAACCTTTCATTAATATCAGACTATACAACCAAAAATCAGATTACTATTAAAATATATCAGTCACTATCATAAGAGAATATGACCATTCCTATGTAGCTCCTTGTGTTGGCCAGTATGCATAATTGCTTTCCTACCAGATAGATTTTTATTGTTACTTTTCATTGTATCTCAATAATATACTAACATTTTATTTCATATTTCTGACTTGAATCACTGTATAACTGATAAACATCACTGAGTTTAAAATATAGAATGAAATAATTTACCTGTTTAGATTATCAACTGCAAAAACATCTGCATTCTGTAATATTAAAAATTTGACCATAGTTTCTTGGTTTTGTTGAATAGCCACTAACAGTGGTGTGAGGCCAGTCTGTAAAAAATGATTCACAATTCACATTATTACATATTTCTCAACAGAACTGAACATATTTCAGATGACAATGCGAACTCGGACATCAAATGTAGAAGGTAAATTAAAGGAGGCTCTTTCTTCCCACCCTGTGCTTCCACATGTGCGGCACATTCCTCTTAAACTCTCCTCTCCATTGCCTCATTGCATGGAACCTACTCATCACCAAGACTCACTCCAAACATTGCATTCCAGGGTTCACTGCTTCCATCAAAACACTCACCATGGAATATTACAATTATTTGATTGCACACAATAAAAACACAAGGTCCTCTGGAAGGCAAGGGCTACTGTTTTACCTCTGTAGCCCTAAACCCTAAGACATAGTAGTTAATATTTCAAGCATTCTTATTCAACTGATGACCTAAATTATTGTCTCAAAATAGTGTTTCTCAATACATATTTCCAAGAACATTACTTTTGCACAAATTATATACTGTCCACCAACAGAAAAATGTCATGATCATCTGTTTGAGAAATATAACAAAAGCCATGCATCCTGTGTTCCCCTAGGTGGGGAGAGAAGCAAACTGGAGGGTATCTGCCCTTTAAAAATAGGAAACCTTCTGTAACAGCATACAACTCAGTAATCTGAGCTCAAGGATCCCTGATTGGAATCCTTCAGATAATCCTGACAGTCAGAGGTGTGCATCAGTCTCCCAAATTTTGTATTTTGAAACATTTACAGAGGCAAACTACACACATCTCTGCACCATGTTCAGTCGATTCCTTTGAGTCTTTGTATCAGCTGGCAATGCATTTCCAAATGATTTTGTATAAAGCAGGTATTAACATGTAATATCTTCACTTTTCTTAGCATCACCTAATTCACAAAAAGAAAGATCAGGCCCCACTATGTAGTCAACAGGGCACACCCAATATACTATTGTTCCAACAGTTAAATAACCATCCATTTGTATTTAAATCTGACAGGTTTTAGTCAAATGGATATTTGAGATACAGGAATGTTGAAACTGAACTATTAAAAGAATGTCCATCCAAATATTCTTAACACTACCATGGCTTTCAATTTTAAGTCTGCCATAGTGATTATGTGTCAGCGCTCCATGAATTCAACACAACAAGATTTGATTGTGTATCATAAAGCTTCAATGAGGAAAAAGGTTCATAATTTGCTATAATTCTAACCATAAAGCCCTGCTTGCAATATACATTTCTTTGTAAAACTATCCGTAAGTGTTATTCTGTAGGCTGAGAATTATTAGTATTATCTCTTTGAATTTATAACTACAAAGGAAAAGAAAGACAGATAAAATCAGAGGTTAGTATTGTTCGAATGTAGCATCCATCAAACTCTAACTCTTCTCAAGATTCTTAATAGTTTTTGAGACCTAAGAACTTACACATTACAATTAACAGTTTGGTGGTTCTTAACAAGGGTTTTGTCAGACTCTCAGAGATAGGTTTTTAAGTATACATGTAAAGACGTAGTAAGATTTACTGAAATAAATACTCTTGGAGAGACTAACTAGACTTGTAAGTTTTTCCAGGTCATTCTGATATACAACTCCAGCCGAGAACTGGTGCAGCAGACAACCACCACTTCCATCTCTCCTCTCACACACATCATTTGGAGACTTGACCAAAACGAGGAATGAGTAAGAGACACACACTGAACATCCCATTTCATTTTTCTTGAGTAGGAATAAATCAACTAACAGTAAACTCAAAGTCCAACTTAGATTTATTTGTAGGATCCTTTTCTTCTACTTTCCCACAAAGACATTCTCTATTTGAGAGCTGAGTTTAGACACTTTTCCTCAGCAGCTCTTCCTACCATAATAAAATGTCAATCATTTGTTCTTCCCTCTTGTTTTCTACATTCATCACCACCTAGTCACTCCAAATATGGTTCCCCAAAGCAAACTTACAACTTATTAATGATATTAATGAAAGTACAAGTTATTATACTTTCAATCAAAGAATACTTGGTCTACACAAAACTCAACAAAAACAAATCAAAAATCCCATCTCCGTATTTTCCCTCAATTACCTAATTTACAAATGTTTCATTCTTCTATCCTTTTCTCTTGCAAAGTTTCCCAGTTAACCCTTGACACTCTAAGGTAACTTTTATATAAATAAACTTATTTAGGAAATGGACAGCAACAGCCATATTTCTGTTTACTACAACATGCTTTCTTCTTGAGTTTTAAGCAAAAGCCTTTGTCAAGACAAAATTGGACTTCTCCTGTTTTTGCACCGCTTAGAAAAAAGTAACTGGGAAAATATCCTTGAAAATATGTCTGACCTTTAACAAATTCAGTGCTTTCATAAATACTGGCCATAAATGCCTCTCAGTCTGTCCTTTCCAGTATTTCTGCAATGGTATCAATATTTAAACTTAAATCTGGGACAGTTTTCATAAAATATCTTCATTCGATGCAGCTGGTACTCCCAAATATGAGAAACTGCTTCTATACATGTCAATCTTTTAAAAATGTATTTCCAATAGTCTAAACATTAAGTTAGATGATCCATACCTTATTTTTCTTTTCGATATCTGCATTGCTGGAAAGCAGCTTTTCGGCCATTCTTATATTTCTCCGTAGGCCACATAGTGGAGAGCAGTGTTGCCAATTTCATCCTCAATATTTGGATCAGCCCCATGATCCAGTAAGAGTGTAGCACAGTTCTCAGCGGGACACTGTACAGCCTGCCAGTAATACACCAATCATAAATTGTAACTTCTAGAAATTCAAAGAAAAACTCCCCATCCCAATGGTTTCACCAGTTAGTCATATATAAATAAGATAAATTCATTTTTATTCTAAGTATATAAACCAAGCCCTTCCTATACTGGAATGGTCGAGCACTAAATACCTTTATCAGCGGTGTTGCAGCCCTTTTATCTTGCGGATCAAGTAGACATCTTTGGCTTATGAGGAAAGCTACCACGTCTTGGTGGCCTTTTGCACAGGCCCAGTGCAGAGCGGTCCTATAGGAAATTAGATTGCACAATCACAAAACAGGCCATTTCTCATGTAATCGTAAGAATAAAATAGCATATTCCCCTGCCCTCAAAACAAATACTTTTGATGAACAAAGAACTTTATCATCTCTTCTTGTCACTAAACTAATGAAAGAGAAGCCTATTAAAGAAAAATAACATGATCATTACATTAACCACAGCTTGGTTAAATCCTATTTTAAGTTATGACTAGGACTTTGAGTATCTCAATTTCCTGATTAAAAGAATGGGGAGAAAAAGAGTAGTTGTCTCAGTTTACCATTGTGATGCTTCAATGAAAATCTATGTAAAATATTTAGAACGGTTGCTGACACAACTAACAGCTCAGTAATTGTCAGACGCAGTCATTACTAATACCACGACTTAAAAACAGCATTTTAATTGAGTAAGATAATATAATTATCCTGACTTTCCATATATCCTTGAAGCATTAGAGAAAATATTATAATTCACTGACTCTGAATATGCTCAATGCCTCTCACTTTATCATTTCTCACATTGAAGTGCTGCTTATACTAATACCACGACTTAAAAACAGCACTTTAATTGAGTAAGATAATATAATTATCCTGACTTTCCATATATCCTTGAAGCATTAGAGAAAATATTATAATTCACTGACTCTGAATATGCTCAATGCCTCTCACTTTATCATTTCTCACATTGAAGTGCTGCTTATCATAATTCATTACTTTTCCCACTGTAATTGGCAGCATTTAAAAACTTAGCATCTATTGAGATAATTCAATGGTTCTATGGTTTTGTTCTTTGATTTCTTAAGCTGATGTAGCAGATTTATTAATCTGTATATGTCAAAATGTCTGTGTACATCAGGGATAAATCCCATTTCATCTGGGTGAAGGATTTTATTAGATGTGTTGTTGGATTCCATTAGCTAGAATTTGTTAAGGATTTTTATCTGTGTTAATCAGTGACACTGGTCTATAGCTGTCTTTCTTGGTTGTTAACTTTTTATCCTGGTTTTGGAATAAAGTGATATAGACATTTGGACCAATGGAAGAGATTAGAGATCTTAGAAATTCATCTATGCATCTACCATCAACTGATCTTTGACAAATGTGCTACAATCACTCCCTGGGGAAAGGACAGTCTCTCATCAACTGGTGCTGCGGAAATTCGATCTCTGCATGCGGAAGTAGGAAACAAGATCCATACTTTTTAGCTTTCACAAAAAAAAAAAAACTCAATGGTTCAGGGATCTAAACCTAGGACTCAGAACCATACAATGATTAGAAAAAAGCATAGGGGAAACACCATAATTCATTGGCATAGTCAGGGACTTCTTGGATTAGACATCAGAAGCACAGGGAATAAAGGCAAAAAAAGACAAATGGAGTTAAATCAAGATAAGAAGCTTCTCCACAGTGAAGAAAACACTCAACAAAGTAAAGAGGCAATCAACAGAGTGGGAGAAAACACTGCAAACTATACATTGGATAAAGGAATAACATCCAAAATACACACGAAGTTCAAGAAACTCAACAACAACAAAACAGAAAATACAGTTAAGAAGTGGGCAGAAGATTTAACAGACATTTTTCAAAGCATGAAATACAAATGGACAACAAACACATGAAAAAATGCTCAGGATCACTAGGCATCAGGGAAATGCCAATGAATTCCACACTCACCCTAGTTAGAATTGTGTTCATCCAAAAATCAAAAAACATAAAAAATGCTCATGAGAGTGTGGGGAAAAGGTACCCGAATACACTGTTGATGGGAACGTAAATTAGCATAACTATTATGGAAGAGAGTAGGAAAAAAATTTAAAAATAGGTCTGCGATATGACCCAGCTATTCCACTCCAGAGAATTTACCCAAAGGAAGTAAAGTAAGCATATGTAAGAGTTATCTGTAACCCAATGTTTATAGTAGCTCAACTCACAATAGCTAAGATATGGAATCAACCCAGATGTACATAAACTGATGACCGCATAATGTGTGCTATGTAACCATGATGGAATACTATTTAACCATAAAAAATGAAACCCTGTCTTTCACAACAATTTGCAATTGGAGATCATTAAGCTTAGGGAAATACACCAGTCCCAACAAGCAACTAAAACATTTTCCTGGATTTGTGGTAACTAACATACAGAGTACAAAATACGCAGATGAGTGAAATCGACATTTTCAGATTTGATTGCATATAGCCCTTATCTATACTCCTGAGAAAACATTGTTTTTCCACTTACTACTTATTGAATTCTTTATTTAGTGGAAGGTTAAGCTTGTGATTACAAAGTAAAGTGAAACTTGGTCATTGTAAAAATTAAAAGAAAAATAAGAAAGTAGGAGAGAGGGTGGGATTCAGGCAAGGAGGGAGGATAGGGTGGGAAGTACCATTATGTTCTTCACATTGTATATATGAAATACATGAAGTGTGTTATCTTTATATAAAGCGTTTTTATAAAACAGAAAAAATGGCTCATTGATACCTATTGATCACACAATCCATGGTGCCTAACAATAAGTGCAAAATAGCTTATAAAAACACATTTATGGCAACTCCAGCCATATGATTGGCATTAAATATTAGTTTCTGAAAGTTCTATAGTTTGGAAGAGACAGCTAACATTACAAACATGTTTAAAAACAAAGTAATTCTTTAATCTCAATAATATTAAAAATTTAACTAGAGTGTCTACATCCAATCATTCTGGAAATGACAAGATAAAGAAAATTTCACAAGAATTCAAATACCTATAAGTAACAATTTTAATCACATTTTGTTGGCTAACACAGTCCACAATTTGTGTGTATGTATAAACAAACACTTTTCTCACTTGTTATACAGACTGCCTACATATTTGTATTTCCACATGCATCTGTGGGACACTCCACCTTTAATGGTCACCTATCAAAGCAATCTATCAATGCGCCATAATTTATAGGTCCATTATGTAGGTTCTTTTTAACATATGCCCATTTTAAGCGCTAATAAGAGAAACAAATGGCATGCCTACTTCTGAAAGTTATTTTAAAAGAATGAAATTGGGCTGGCGCCGCGGCTCACTAGGCTAATCCTCCGCCTAGCGGCGCCGGCACACCGGGTTCTAGTCCCGGTCGGGGCGCCGGATCCTGTCCCGGTTGCCCCTCTTCCAGGCCAGCCCTCTGCTGTGGCCAGGCAGTGCAGTGGAGGATGGCCCAGGTGCTTGGGCCCTGCACCCCATGGGAGACCAGGAAAAGCACCTGGCTCCTGGCTCCTGCCATCGGATCAGCGCGGTGCGCCGGCCGCAGCGCGCCGGCCGCGGCGGCCATTGGAGGGTGAACCAACGGCAAAGGAAGACCTTTCTCTCTGTCTCTCTCTCTCTCACTGTCCACTCTGCCTGTCAAAAAAATAAATAAATAAATAGAATGAAATTGAAGGGTGGAGGGCATATGCATTTTTCAAATATGACACAGGGGGCTGGCACTGTGGTGTAGCAGGTAAAACCACCACCTGCAGTTCCAGCATCCCCTATGGGTGCCAGTTCGAGTCCCAGCTGTACTTCTGATCCAGCTCTCTGCTATGGCCTGGGAAAGCAGCAGAAGATGGTTTGGGTTCGTTGGTCCCTGCTTCCACGTGGGAGACCCACAGGAAGCTCCTGGCTCCTGCTTTAGGACTGGCACAGCTCTAGCCATTGTGGCCAATTGGGAAGTGAACCAGCAGATGGAAAACCTCTCTCTCTCCCTACCTCCCTCCCTCCCCCTCTCCCTCTCCTCTCTCTGTAACTCTTTCAAGTAAATAAATAAGTCTTTAAAAAAAGTGACATAGTACTTAGAACCAAATTCTCAATATAAAAAGTCACAAGCAATTTGACCTTTGCCCCTAAAATTGCTATTCATTATCATAAACTATATGGATGGAAAGTAGCATTCATTCATCTTTCAAATTAAATTCTTTTTCTCACCAGAGACACTAAATACTGTTTTCTATGTCCATGGATCACTTGTATACCTACAACACATACATATCCAAATTTAAAATTAAGTTCAGTGTTGTTTTCCTGCTTTGCACAGATTTCTGTAAAATGAAGATCCATTTTTTCACCTGAAATATACTTGTTGTAAAAATGTTTTGAAGATATATTGTTTTGTTTTGTTATTTTCATCCAGATACACAGGAAGTTTTTTTTATTTCCTAAGCAAATATTCAGAGTAATTCCTTAAAAACTGCTTATTTAAAAGGCAGAGTGAAAGAGAGGAGGAAAGGTACAAAGAGCTGCCGTTAACTGATTCACTCCCCAAATGCCCACAACAGCCAAGGACAGGCCTGGCAAAAGTATGGGGTCAGATCAGGAGCAAAGTGGGCAGGACTCCAACCTGTACTCAGCTATGAGACACCAGCATCCAAAAGCAGTGACTTCACCCACTGTGCTGAACTGTTCACCCCAGGATGTTTGCTTTCGACTTCAGTCTTCATCAAGTCTTTGGCCACTAAAAAATTTATTGCTTCACATTTTTTGTTTCTTCTGAAATTTTTCTCACATTGTTTATTTACAACTTTTAACTCTACCAGAAATGTAGCTTTGTGTTATAAAAATCTAGTTTTCCTCCGTTAAGAAGTATTTCATGCATAAGTAAACCGTGTTTTCTTATGAATATAAATGTTACCAGTATCAAGTTCTAAATCTTTGTTTCATATTATGTTTTTGGATTTCCAATGCATTTGCCCTTTCAACTGTCAGAAACCTGATTAATTTCTAAAAACAGCACGTTTACATCAAAAACAGCACCTCATTATTTGCTACATTACAAATGAGTGTTAGCAGAGCAGTAAATGACAAGTAGAATGTGTAACTCGAAATTTTTAAACTTTGATATTTTTGTTTGGCGCATGTAAGACTGATAAAATTAAAGCTCACTTTTTGGTAAACATGAGTTCTCTCATGCCAAGGTTTCCTTCTACAATCCCATGTACACGCAGGTGTGAACTGACATCAAACGGGTATTGGGTTTACTCAGACTTTAACCCAGGGGTTGAGAGATTATGGAAATTTTCTTGTTATCTTTTTGATCATGTGTATCACAACGTGGATCTGGACTTGTGTACATAAACATGGACTGGTGTCCAGGGAAGCAAGCAGGGGAGCCTGGGGCGAGGGCTTCCCGCACTGGGCCCTGCTGCCCACCCTCCAGTACCTGCTCTTGTGGTCCACGTCATACACCGCTTCTTCTGCAAATCAGCATTTTCTCCACTGCGGCCACATTGCCCGCGCTGGCAGCTCTGTGAATGGCACCGAGCTCCCAGTAGAGCAGGCGGTATCCAAAATGCGGCCGCATCTTCAAGCGCTTTTTCTCGAACTCCGTAACCGTCCGAGCGCGCTTTCTCGCAAGCTTGCTAACAGACCAGGAGAAAAATTTCTCCATAAGCAAGGCTGTCAGGGGCTTTCAGCCACCTCTGCAGCAAAATAGGAAGAAATGTGGCAGTCTAGCCACCATGCAACGGAGGAGCTTCGCGGTTTTCAACCTCTCGGCTCACAGTAACTGTCGCCCAACAACTGCCGCGCATGTGCACCAGGCTAAGCCCCGCCCCTTCCGCTCCCGGACATTCCTTCCTCTTCCTCCAGACTCCGCCCAGAAGCCCCTCCCCCTCCGAGGCGGCCCTTGCTCTCACTCCTGGTTGGCCAAGACTCCATCCTCCGGGCCATGGAGGACGCCCCAACGCCGGGCAGTGCTTCTTGCACCACTTTCTCCTGCGGCCTGGACTCAGCAGAACTAGGCAGCAGGAGGGCCAGGAAGTGGGAAGGAGGGCGCCCCCCAGGGAGCACAGCCGCCCCCTCCCAGCAGGGCAGCCCCACAGCTTTCCCCTGGGCTCAGGAGATAGTGGGCTGTGTCTCCAGGTGGCTTGGGCCCTGGTGAGGCTCGACCCATGGGCCACATGTGCCCCTATCCCCTGGGCTCAGGCACATGGTTGCAGGGAGGTGACAGGCAGGGGGCAGCCTCGACCTGGTGCTGCCACTCCACTGGCTTCTGGGGCCAGTGCAAAACAGTAAAACACTGAACTTAATTTTAAATTGGGATATGTATGTGTTTGTAGGTATACAAGTGATCCATGGACATAGGAAACAGTATTTAGTGCCTCTGGTGAGAAAAAGAATTTAATTTAAAAGGTGAATGAAATGCTACTTTCCATCCATATAGTTTATGATAATGAACAGCAATATTAGGGGCAAAGGTCAAATTGCTTGTGATTTTTATATTGAGAATTTGGTTCTAATACTGTGTCACTTTTTTTAAAAGACTTATTTATTTACTTAAAAGTCAGAGTTACAGAGAGAGAGAAGGAGAGGGAGAGTCTGGAGAGAGAGAGAGAGAGCGAGGTCTTCCATCTGCTGGTTCACTTCCCAATTGGCCACAATGGCTAGAGCTGTGCCAGTCCTAAGCCAGGAGCTTCCTCTGGGTCTCCCACGTGGAAGCAAGGACCCAAGGACCCAAACCATCTTCTGCTGCTTTCCCAGGCCATAGCAGAGAGCTGGATCAGAAGTGGAACAGCTGGGACTCGAACTGGCACCCATAGGGGATGCTGGAACTGCAGGTGGTGGTTTTACCTGCTACACCACAGTGCCAGCCCCCTGTGCCATATTCAAGGAATAGTTTATTGGCTTTTTTTCTTAACTGAGAATGGGACTGGGAATGGGAGAGGGAGGAAGAGGAGGGTTGGGAGTGGGAGAGTAAGTATGAGGGTAAGAATCATAATATTCCTGAAGTTGTACTTACAAAATTTGTATTCATTAAATAAAAGGTTTCTTTGGGAAAAAAATTCAAGCCCCGCTCCTCTGCTCCCTCACAGATGCCAGCACCCCCAGATCACAGACTTGCCCCAAGGGAGGCAGCTCCCACCATCCAATGGAAGCAGTGAGGATTCTTTGGGGAAATGATGATGTTAGGGCTAGAGAAGGGACAGGAACAGCCTGGGACCAGAGAGAAAATGCCCACAGTTGAAGGGGGCCTGAGGAGGGGCACCAGAGCTGATGCAGAGGAAGCCTAGGCCAACGTGGGATGATCTGAGCCATAAAACAGCAAGAGTCACATACTGTCACTCCCTGAGACATGTCTCCTAATCCCCAGTACCCCGGAAGGTGACTGCACTTGGAGACACTCAACGTGAGGCCGTGGGTGATTCCTAAGGCGGTGTGGCTTCTGTCCCAGAAGCAGAGGACATTCTGACACAGACACACAGGGGATGAGCAGGTGGAGACACAGTGAGAGCCAGTATGTACCTGTGGAGGTGCAAGGCCTCAGAAGGTCCCAGCCCTGTCCACACCATGTCCTCAGACCTCAGCTTCCAAGCAGCAAGAACGTGAACTCATGTGAATAATCCTCCAATAACTACCAGAATCCAGCAGGACCATGATCTCCCAAGAATTCTTCAAACTCAGTGCCAGCATTTTGGTGTAGTGGGTAAAGCCACCAAATCTGATGCCAACATTCCATATAGGCACTGGTTTGTGTCCGGGCTCCTAAAACTTCCAATCCAGCTCCACGCTAATGCCCTGAGAAAGCAGTGGAAGATGGCCCAAGTGCTTGGGCCCCTTCACAAAAGTGAGAGACCTGTACAGAGCTTCTGGCTCCTAGATTCAGCCTGTCCCAACCCCAGGCATTTTGGCCATTTGGGGTGTGAACCACCAATGGAATATCTCTGTGTCTCTCTCTCACCATAACTCTTTCAAATAAATAAATAGCTTTTTAAAAAATCTCCAAGCTCTACCACTAGATTTTTAAACTGGGAACATCAACTTGTCTCGTGTTCCCATCCTTCCCCTATAGGAAGTATTTGAATATGTACAATAATCCTGAGTGCATACAGGCACACAATGCTACATAAACATCTGCTAGAATCTTACAGAGCATGCAATCCCTCCAGTCTCATACTCTTTTTTTTTTTTTGACAGGCAGAGTGGACAGCAGAGTGGACAGTGAGAGAGAGACAGAGAAAGGTCTTCCTTTGCCGTTGGTTCACTCTCCAATGGCCGGCCAGCACGCTGCGGCCGGCGCACCGCGCTGATCTGATGGCAGGAGCCAGTTGCTTCTCCTGGTCTCCCATGGGGTGCAGGGCCCAAGCACTTGGGCCATCCTCCACTGCACTCCCTGGCCACAGCAGAGGGCTGGCCTGGAAGAGGGGCAACCGGGACAGAATCCGGCACCCCGAATGGGACTAGAACCCGGTGTGCTGGCGCCGCAAGGCGGAGGATTAGCCTAGTGAGCTGTGGCGCTGGCCCAGTCTCATATTAAAGGAACTAGAAGTCTGAATCATAGAACTGGCATAGGTGTGAGAAGACTTTTTGATGTTCCAACAAACATCTCACACAATGCGGAGACCAAGCACTGCTACAACAACACACGTGTGCACAATGGAAACTTTCTTGTCCATAGCTCAGGAGCCATGCATTAGGAATAGTGCCTACAAGAAAGTTTTATGTGACAAAATGGTTGATAACAGCAAAAATACAGTATCATTGAGTTAACCCAGGAGCTTACAACTGCCTCATCTTAGGTTAGGAATGAAATGGGATTCCCTTAAGTACTCCTGCAATATTGTAAAAAGAATGCTACCCCTGGTACAACTTCAACTTTGGAATGGACAGATGGCTCTTCAGCAGTGACTAGAAGGGAAAACCACAGTAACTCACTTTAGATAGTATGAGTCAGATCTTGGTTGAGGGCCAGAACAAAGCATTCATGAAGGAGGATGCACTCAGGCAATTTTGGTTCAATGCCTTGGAAGTAAGAAACTGTGGTAAGGATGACCAGTTCAAGCAAAGAACCACCTCCACTGCTGCCATTTGGCACCAAACCATGGCACCACTCCTCTGCAATGCTGTAACTGCCTCTCCACTGTTTTCTTGCTTTCACCCTCACCATCTGGAGTCTGTCCTCCAGACCACCCAAGGTGAGCCTTCGCAAGCATGTCACACAACATGTTGCTGCTTAGCTCAAAACCCTGCTCCAACACACCCAGCTAAAGCCAAGTCCACAATGATCGACGTGACCCTTCTCCCATCACATTTTGACCTCCTTTCCTGCACCTCCCCTCCTTGCTCACTTCCCTCTAGCCACAGAGGCCTTCTGAAGCTGCTGCTCTCTGTTGCAGCTGGCAAAGGCTCCTCCCATGCCCCGGCCAAGACCAACTCCCTCTCACCTTCAAGTTTTTGCTCACATCTGACCCCCTCAGGTTGGTCTTTCTCCAACTACAACTGCACAATCCATACATCTCTTCTTTTTGTACTTACGAATCTATCATTTGTTTATTATGTTTATTGCTTATTTCTGGCTTCTGCCACTAGAAAGCAAGTTCCATTAGGGCAGCATATTTGATGGAGAAGGACTTGGTATGTAGCAGCCTCCTATCTATATTTGCTTGATGAATGACGCTCACATTCTTGTTTTCTAAGAAATAAGTGGGGTCAGGGAGCATCCTCACCTATAACAGAGTCATATTTAAACCACCAGCTAGCGAGTGGCTCCCTCTTTTAGCCTACTTCCCACCGGGGTGTATAACAGTGTGACTTGGGGGTAGAGCCTTGTGTGTGAGAGAGAGAGAGAGAGAACTTACAAGCTTGTAGCTAATGTCCTAAGGTACATCTCTTCCCTTCTTTCTAAATCCCACCACTTAGAAATCTTGCTTTGGTCTTTTTCCTTTTCGGTAGTTTCTTTCATGGAACATCACTGGTTGAGTTGTGCCCAGCAGCAAATTCATATGTTGATGTCCTAACCATCCAGGCCTCTGAATGTCACTGTAATTGAAAACAGAGTCATTGCAAATGCAATTATTTATAAGTTAAGGTGAGCACAATTGTAACATGAGTGTTCTTATTAAAGAATGAGGTTTGGATTCAGAGATTTGCAGAGTAGGAAGCCAGTGTGGAGACACAGGGAGATGGCCAACTGTAGGACAAGGAGAGAGGCCTGGTGCAGGCCTTTTTCCAAGAGCCCTCAGAAGTAACTAGCCCTGCTAAAACCTTGATCTTGGACTTCTAGGCAAAATCAGTTTCTGTTTTTAAGCTACCATCTCTGGTACTACTTTGTTATGGTGGCACATGAATACAGACCAACATGGAATCAAAGGCCCAGGAAGCCACCTTATTACTTCCCTTTGGAACAGTAAGAGCTAGCATTATAGAAGGAGGATGTAAGCCTGGGCAAAAGGAATCTGGGAGCCTCAGCCTGGAAACTCTAGTCAGTGTTAAAGCAGTCTTCAGTATGGATGAGTTTGCAAGGTCACAGGATGGCTCCATAAGACTCAGTGTGCATACACATAGAGTACCTTGCTAAGATCCCTTAAAACATATAGCTGCATTAGGTATCTATTTGGTTAGAGTATTCTATGCTCCAGTCAAATAGCAACTAACAGGTATCTACTCCCTATTTCTCCAGATATTGGCATGTGGAGAATCTTATCTCAAGAGCCTTATAGAAGACTGAATCCACACCATTTCTTCATAATACATCCAAAATCCCACTAGATCCAACCAGGCTGCTTCCCTGGCCCTGCCACATTAGAAAGTCCTGCCCTTGATCCTCTTTACCCTTGAGAAGTATCTGTGGTGGCCAAGGGTCCTTGATCTTAAGAGCTTATCCAGACAGCCATGACAAGAAGGGCCTTCCCAAACAGCCAGGAGTCTGCCTCCTGCCACAGCATCTCTTCAAAGCACTGATCCCAAGGGTGGACCATTTTGCTGTGGCATACATCTGTGTCCATATGGGGATCATATAGCATGCATTGAAGGGTATATTTGTTGGACATTCAGCTAGGTGCCCATACATAAAATCCATCAAGGTACAGGCCAGTTGCAAAGGAGAGACTTAAAGAAGCTATAAAATGCATAGGTTCCATAAAGTGCCACAGAACATTTACCAGTGACAGAAAAAGGTCAGCTATCTGTCATTTTTACTAAGCAAGGCATGAGGGTCTTTTTCAGATTTATTTATTCATTTAAAAGGCAGAGTGACAAAGAAAGGTGAGACAAGGAGAGGGAGAGGGAGAAAAGAGGGAGAGGGAGGTTCTTCCATCCACTGGTACACTGCCCAAACAGCTTATAACCAGGGCTGAGTCAGACCAAAACCAGAAGCCAGGATTCCATCTGTGTGTCCCACATGGGTGGTAGGGGTCCCAGGATTTGTGCCGCCTTCTGCTGCTTACCCAAGCACATTAGCAGGAAACTCAATGAGAAGAGAGATAGTGAGGACTCAAACAAGCACTCTGATACAGGATGCTGGCATCGCAAGTGGCTTCTTAACTGACTGCAACCCAGTGAGCCCCATGGCATGAGTTTCTAAGCCATGAAAACAAGTAGTGCAGCTGACAATTAATTGCCCATTCACCTCCCTGCCTGTGTTTATGTGACCTTGTGCTGAAGTTCCCATTCCACACAAAGCTACAGGAGAATACCAGTTTCATCACCAAGCAGGTTTCTCCATGCCCCCTTTCTCTCTCTCCATCCTCTATTTTATGCAATATCTTGTTTAGTAAAATTGATTAAAGAATGAGAGGTTATTACTAAAGCAAACCAGACATGACAGGGCAAAATGACGGATCTCTTAGTATCAACACTACTTGGGTCTTGAATAAAATACCTGCACACACTCACACCGAGAACTGCAGTGACATTAACAATCTTGCCAATTCTCACTCAGTCAATTAACAGTGGGGATTGGTGTTGTGGTATAGCAGGTTAAGACCCCATCTGCAAACCAAAATCCTACATGGATAATGGTTC